TTAACCAGCATGACTACCACAGCATTCTGCAGCGGTATGCCATCCCATCTGGTTTGGGCTTAGTGGGACTATCATTTGCTTTTCAACACGACAATGACCCAACACCTCCAGGCTGAGTAAGGGCTATTTTACCAAGAAGGAGCGTGATGGAGTGCTGCATCAGGTGACCTGGCCTCCACAATCCCCCAACCTCAACCCAATTGAGATGGTTTGGGATGAGTCGGACGGCAGAGTGAAGGAAAAGCAGCCAACAAGTGCTCAGCATATGTTGGAACTCCTTCAAGAGTGTTGGAAAAGCATTCCAGGTGAAGCTGGTTGAGAGAATGCTAAGAGTGTGCAAAGCTGTCATTTACATTTACATTTTAGTCATTTAGCAGACGCTCTTATCCAGAGCAACTTGTTAGTGAGTGCATACATTTTTCATACTGGCCCCCCGTGGGAAACGAACCCACAACCCTGGCGTTGCAAGCGCCATGCTCTACCAAATGAGCCACAGAAGGCAGATCAATGCAAAGGGTGGCTGTTTGAAGAATCTCAAATATAAAAAATATTTTGATTTGTTTAACACTTTTTTGGTTACTACGTGATTCCGTATGTGTTATTTCATAGTTTTGATATCTTCACTATTATTCTACAATGTAGAAAATAGTTAAAGAAAAACCCTTGAATGAGTAGGTGTGTCTAAACTTTTGACTGGTACTGTATATAATATATATACAGTGCCTTGCAAAAGTATTCATCCCCCTTAGCGTTTTTCCTATTTTGTTGCATTACAACCTGTAATTTAAATGGATTTTTATTTCGAATTCATGTAATGGACATACACAAAATAGTCAAAATTGGTGAAGTGAAAAAAATAAAATAACTTGTTTCAAAAAAGTATAAAAAATAAATAATGGAAAAGTGGTGCGTGCATATGTATTCACCCCCTTTGCTATGAAGCCCCTAAATAAGATCTGGTGCGACCAATTACCTTCAGAAGTCACAAAATTAGCTAAATAATGTCCTCCTGTGTGCAATCTAAGTGTCACATGATCTGTCACATGATCTCAGTATATATATACACCTGTTCTGAAAGGCCCCAGAGTCTGCAACACCACTATGCAAGGGGCACCACCAAGCAAGCGGCACCATGAAGACCAAGGAGCTCTCCAAACAGGTCAGGGACAAAGTTGTGGAGAAGTACAGATCAGGGTTGGGTTACATTTTTTTATCAGAAACGTCTGTCCATAGGACCAGTTTAAGCCATACACTCCACAGAGCTGGGCTTTACGGAAGAGTGGCCAGAAAAAGCCATTGCTTAAAGAAAAAAATAAGCGAACACATTTGGTGTTCACCAAAAGGCATGTGGGAGACTCCCCAAACATATGGAAGAAGATACTCTGGTCAGATGAGACTAAAACTGAGCTTTTTGGCCATCAAGGAAAACGTTATGTCTGGCGCAAGCCCAACACCTCTCATCACCCCGAGAACACCATCCCCACAGTGAAGCATGGTGGTGGCAGCATCATGCTGTGGGGATGTTTTTCATCGGCAGGGACTGGGAAACTGGTCAGAATTGAAGGAATGATGGATGGTGCTAAATACAGGGAAATTCTTGAGGGAAACCTGTTTCAGTCTTCCAGAGATTTGAGACTGGGATGGAGGTTCACCTTCCAGCAGGAAAATGACCCTAAGCATACTGCTAAAGCAACACTCGAGTGGTTTAACGGGAAACATTTAAATGTCTTGGAATGGCCTAGTCAAAGCCCAGACCTCAATCCAATTCAGAATCTGTGTTATGACTTAAAGATTGCTGTACACCAGCGGAACCCATCCAACTTGAATGAGCTGGAGTTGTTTACCCTTGAAGAATGGGCAAAAATCCCAGTGGCTCGATGTGCCAAGCTTATAGAGACATACCCCAAGAGACCTGCAGCTGTAATTGCTGCAAAAGGTGGCTCTACAAAGTATTGACTTTGGGGGGGGGTGAATAGTTATGCACGCTCAAGTTTTCAGTTTTTTCTGTCTTATTTCTTGTTTGTTTCACAGTAAAAAATATTTTGCATCTTCAAAGTGGTAGGCATGTTGTGAAATCAAATGATACAAACCCCCCCAAAATCCATTTAAATTCCCGGTTGTAAGGCAACAAAATAGGAAAAATACCAAGGGGGGTGAATACTTTCGCAAGCCACTGTATATATACACTACCAGTCAAAAGTTTGGACATCCCCACATTTCGTGACTAGATGGATGGATGAATGGATAGTGAGTTGGATGAGAATCCCATTGACCTTCTAATGACTGAGTCAGTAGTGTCCCAGCCAGGACTCTAACCCACTATGGTCTGGACTGGGATGCAGTCAGCCATAAAAACACAAATCAATACACTTGTACAGTGAGGGAAAAAAGTATTTGATCCCCTTCTGATTTTGTACGTTTGCCCACTGACAAAGAAATGATCAGTCTATAATTTTCATGGTAGGTTTTTTAAGTAATTAATTTGCATTTTATTGCATGACATAAGTATATGATACATCAGAAAAGCAGAACTTAATATTTGGTACAGAAACCTTTGTTTGCAATTACAGAGATCATACGTTTCCTGTAGGTCTTGACCAGGTTTGCACACACTGCAGCAGGGATTTTGGCCCACTCCTCCATACAGACCTTCTCCAGATCCTTCAGGTTTCGGGGCTGTCGCTGGGCAATACAGACTTTCAGCTCCCTCCAAAGATTTTATATTGTGTTCAGGTCTGGAGACTGGCTAGGCCACTCCAGGACCTTGAGATGCTTCTTACGGAGCCACTCCTTAGTTGCCCTGGCTGTGTGTTTCGGGTCGTTGTCATGCTGGAAGACCCAGCCATGACCCATCTTCAATGCTCTTACTGAGGGAAGGAGGTTGTTGGCCAAGATCTCGCGATACATGGCCCCATCCATCCTCCCCTCAATACGGTGCAGTCGTCCTGTCCCCTTTGCAGAAAAGCATCCCCAAAGAATGATGTTTCCACCTCCATGCTTCACGGTTGGGATGGTGTTCTTGGGGTTGTACTCATCCTTCTTCTTCCTCCAAACACGGCGAGTGGAGTTCAGACCAAAAAGCTCTATTTTTGTCTCATCAGACCACATGACCTTCTCCCATTCCTCCTCTGGATCATCCAGATGGTCATTGGCAAACTTCAGACGGGTCTGGACATGCGCTGGCTTGAGCAGGGGGACCTTGCGTGCACTGCAGGATTTTAATCCATGACGGCATAGTGTGTTACTAATGGTTTTCTTTGAGACTGTGGTCCCAGCTCTCTTCAGGTCATTGACCAGGTCCTGCCGTGTAGTTCTGGGCTGATCCCTCACCTTCCTTATGATCATTGATGCCCCACAAGGCGAGATCTTGCATGGAGCCCCAGACCGAGGGTGATTGACCGTCATCTTGAACTTCTTCCATTTTCTAATAATTGCGCCAATAGTTGTTGCCTTCTCACCAAGCTGCTTGCCTATTGTCCTGTAGCCCATCCCAGCCTTGTGCAGGTCTACAATTTTATCCCTGATGTCCTTACACAGCTCTCTGGTCTTGGCCATTGTAGAGAGGTTGGAGTCTGTTTGATTGAGTGTGTGGACAGGTGTCTTTTATACAGGTAACGAGTTCAAACAGGTGCAGTTAATACAGGTAATGAGTGGAGTACAGGAGGGCTTCTTAAAGAAAAACTAACAGGTTTGTGAGAGCTGGAATTCTTACTGGTTGGTAGGTGATCAAATACTTATGTCATGCAATAAAATGAAAATTAATTACTTAAAAATCATACAATGTGATTTTCTGGATTTTTGTTTTAAATTCCGTCTCTCACAGTTGAAGTGTACCTATGATAAAAATTACAGACCTCTACATGCTTTGTAAGTAGGAAAACCTGCAAAATCGGCAGTGTATCAAATACTTGTTCTCCCCACTGTACATGCCCGTCTGAAGTTTGCCAATGAACATCTGAATGATTCAGAGGAGAACTGGGTGAACGTGTTGTGGTCAGATGAGACCAAAATGGAGCTCTTTGGCATCAACTCAACTCGCCGTGTTTGGAGGAGGAGGAATGCTGCCTATGACCCCAAGAACACCATCCCCACCGTCAAACATGGAGGTGGAAACATTATGCTTTGGGGGTGTTTTTCTGCTAATGACACAGGACAACTTCACCGCATCAAAGGGACGATGGACGGGGCCATGTACTGTCAAATCTTGGGTGAGAACCTCCTTCCCTCAGCCAGGGCATTGAAAATGGGTTGTGGATGGGTATTCCAGCATGACAATGACCCAAAACACACGGCCAAGGCAACAAAGGAGTGGCTCAAGAAGAAGCACATTAAGGTCCTGGAGTGGCCTAGCCAGTCTCTAGACCTTAATCCCATAGAAAATCTGTGGAGGGAACTGAAGGTTCGAGTTGCAAAACGTCAGCCTCGAAACCTTAATGACTTGGAGAAGATCTGCAAAGAGGAGTGGGACAAAATCCCTCCTGAGATGTGTGCAAACCTGGTGGCCAACTACAAGAAACGTCTGACCTCTGTGATTGCCAACAAGGGTTTTGCCACCAATTACTAAGTCATGTTTTGCAGAGGGGTGAAATACTTATTTCGCTCATTAAAATGCAAATCAATTTATAACATTTTTGACATGCGTTTTTCTGGATATCTTTGTTGTTATTCTGTCTCTCACTGTTCAAATAAACCTACCATTAAAATTATAGACTGATCATTTCTTTGTCAGTGGGCAAACGTACAAAATCAGCAGGGGATCAAATACTTTTTTTCCCTCACTGTATATACATTTTAGTCATTTAGCAGACGCACTTGTATATACAGAGAACCATTCTAAAAGTAGCACTAGCACTGTGGCGTTTGTTGTTCGAAATAACCAGAAGCAGTCTTCAACTGTGCACGATTCTTCCCAGATTAAAGAAACTGGGAGAGACTCTCTGTTTTTTCTTCTCTCTCTCTCTCCCTTTATCACTCTCATTCACACACTCACTCCATTATTCTTTCTCTCCCACAGATCTAGCCTGTCAGGATGGACCTGTCTAAGCTGCCTAAGATCTGTGATGAAGAGAAGGAGAGCGAGTTTGGATACGTCCATGGTGTATCCGGCCCAGGTCACTATCACTCACATTCATCTGTCACCAGTACCTCTGTTTAGCCTTCAAATGCTTTTAGCTGAAGAAGAGCCCCATCTATACGTCTTGTAGTAGGCTAGGCTGTTTCCACCAATATTGCTTACACTAATCTGGTGTTAAGTTTGGACTAGACATCACATCCATCCCTCTTGCATGTGTCTGGTGTTTGCCTGCTGTGTGACCTCTGACCTGTGTTGTCCCCTGGCTGTGCTGTAGTGGTGACAGCCACTGCCATGGCAGGAGCAGCCATGTATGAGCTGGTCAGAGTGGGCCACAGTGAGCTGGTGGGAGAGATCATCAGGCTGGAGGGAGACATGGCCACCATCCAGGTCTACGAGGAGACATGTATCCTAACGGGTTATATTGCACTGTTACTGCACTTGACTGTGGCTGCATCCCAAATGGCACCCTATTCCCTTTACGGTGCACTACTTTTGACCAGAGCCCTATGGACCCTGGTCAAAAGAAGTGCACTGTAAAGGGAATAGGGTGCCATTTGGGATGCAAGCTTTACTGTACCTGACTGTCTATATACTCCCTTCAGATAGTTGTGTGTGTGTGTGTACACACCTACTGTATCTTTACATGATCACCTGTGTGTTCATTACTGAACATATTTCTACGGTACATACACACAGGCCGTGGTCGGATACCCATACCAGCGTACTACATAGTTCAACTGCATACTATGTGCTCCTCATCACATACTATTTAGCACGTACCGTTTAGTAAAAAGTATGCCACGGCCGCAACGCAGTAGCTGCTTCTGATTGGCTGAGTAGGTGGGGCGGGGCCGAATGCAAATTTAACAGACATGCATTGCCTTAACCAGCCTGACAATAGCTCATTTCCAACTTGATTAATTTCTCTAAACTCTGAATAGAGTAGGAATGGAGTTATAGGCCTACTCAGGCTGGTTATGGGCAGACTATCACATTCAACCTATACTGTAGCCCATTTATCCTATTAAAAAAGGACTGAAGACAGAAACCGATCATTTGGTTCCATTTCAACATATTTATTAGTGAAACCAAAGTGCTGTAACATAAATTCAATGAAATAGCCTAGTACACACACCAACACTTTTCAAATGTTCAAATCAAAAGGCTATTGCACAGAAAAACGTTGACAGTCAGGTGCATGGCAAATTCAGAACCGCTGGACAGCAACATAATAAACTAAAGCACTGATCATTGAGAACGAGATCAGAATGACTGCTAAGGCTTGATCCATTCATTAAATAATGAAATTAGGTAGCCTAGCCTACAAAACTAAAACAATCCATATCTTCAAATCAAAAGGCCTGATTAACATGACATCATTATTGCAGCCACATCCCGAGTCCCCGGTGCCAACACATTCAGAAATCAAAAGGTTTAGTATTTAGTTTAAAAGCTCTGACAAAGGCTAAGAGAACAAGAAACACTTTTCAATGAGAGAACAGAAATCCACACTTTTTTTTTTATAAGACTTCTGTTTTCAAAGATGTAGCCTACGATCCAATACTTGTGATCATTTTAAGGAGAACAAAAACTACTTAGCCTACATTTGAACACCCCCGCAGAAGCTTCGCTATTAGTCATCTTCCCAATTAACTAGCCTAATTTTGTTGTTTGGCTACTTGAAGAGAACTAGGGCCTATCACTCGCAGCTCACATCTTCCAATGCGTTGTGGAAACGTATGCATCTAATTCTACTAGATGAAAAGCCGAAATGAGTAGAACATCCTGCCATTTTAAACCATACTCAATTTTCTAAATGTCGCATTCTATTAAACATTCTATTTTCACAGACTGAGAATGCACTCAGTCTCATACACTAGCCGTAGCAGTCTCTTGATATCACTCAACATGAGAAGACTGCCATCTACTGAAACACACACACGGTGAGTGTGTTCCTGAGCGTTGTCACAGCGGGCGTGTCTGTTGGGGACCCAGTGCTGCGGACAGGGAAGCCTCTGTCTGTGGAGCTGGGCCCAGGCATCATGGGCTCCATCTTTGATGGTATCCAGCGCCCCCTAAAGGACATCAACGACCTAACACAGAGCATCTACATCCCCCGTGGAGTGAACATCGGAGCCCTCAACCGAGACCTCAAATGGGAGTTCTCCCCCGTCAAGAGCTTACGGGTGAGTGTGTGTCCTACTACTTTATGTCAATGTTTTAATAAAAGTGTTGAGTGGTTTACTAAGTGTGCTACTGAATACACAGTTTGAAGTGACCCTAGAGCAGGGTTTCCCAAACTCAGTCCTGGTACCACAACCAGTGGTCAACGAGTTTGGGAAACCCTGCCCTAGAGCACATACTGAACTGAACAACAAAAACGTGGACTTTTTTCAGCATTAACCCCTCATCGTCGCTCTCTCCTTAGGTGGGCAGTCACATCACAGGGGGTGATATCTACGGGATGGTGTTTGAGAACTCCCTTATCAAGCACAAGATCATGCTGCCTCCGAGGAACAGAGGAACCGTCACCTATGTGGCTCCCCCCGGAAACTATGACGTCTCGGTTAGTTCCACCTCCCTAGTCTCAATCCATAGTAATGCATGTGTGGTAATTTATGTATTTGGACTGAGGGTTTGGGGTGTGTGTGTGTGTGTGTTTCAGGACGTGGTGTTGGAGCTGGAGTTTGAGGGGATGAAGGAGAAGTTCACCATGGTCCAGGTCTGGCCAGTGCGACAGATTCGCCCGGTCACAGAGAAGTTACCCGCCAATCACCCACTGCTGACCGGACAGAGAGTACTGGACGCCCTCTTCCCGTGAGTCCTCTCTCTCTTACCCCACCTTTCCCTCTCTCACCTTCATCCTTCTCTCCATCTCTGCTTCAGGGAAACTCTCAGAATGTCCTTTATCTATCTGTCTTTGCTATTCTGCTACAAAGAAACTCAATTACAACTTATCTGTTTCTGCCAATATACTCAACCTTTGCTTCCATCTCCCTGCCCCTGGTCTGTTCTGCCTGTGTCTACCTGTCTGTCTCTGTGTCCAGGTGTGTCCAGGGAGGAACCACAGCCATCCCCGGAGCCTTTGGCTGTGGTAAAACTGTCATCTCCCAGTCCCTGTCCAAGTACTCCAACAGTGACGTCATCGTCTACGTAGGCTGCGGGGAGCGCGGGAACGAGATGTCAGAAGTATTGCGAGATTTCCCTGAGGTTGGTGGTGTTATGTCATTGGATTATCACGATCATCACTATTACCATTAGCCTGTTTCTAATTGGAGGTAAGGATGATTGACAGTGTGTCTGTCCAATAGCTGACCATGGAGGTGGATGGGAAGACTGAGAGCATCATGAAGAGAACAGCGCTGGTGGCCAACACCTCCAACATGCCTGTGGCTGCCAGAGAGGCCTCTATCTACACCGGTAAGAACCAATCACAGGGCCCAGAACACAACACGGCACACCTCCCAGCCAATGGCAGGCCTGAGACCACAACATGGAGCACACCCCCTAACCAATAACCTACTTCTCCGTGTGCCTGTAGGGATCACACTTTCTGAGTACTTCAGGGACATGGGCTACAATGTGAGCATGATGGCTGACTCCACCTCTCGATGGGCCGAGGCTCTCAGGGAGATCTCTGGTCGACTGGCTGAGATGCCCGCTGGTGAGTGGCTGCTGGTAGCACCCAAAATACAAAATAGTTGCCTTTTTTAAAGCAATGTATAGGACAGCTTCTAAGGCTAGTGGGGTGAACTAGGTCTAAATCAGCTCGTCATAAAGTAAACACATTTTGTGTATGTCCACAGACAGTGGTTATCCTGCCTACCTGGGTGCCCGTCTGGCGTCATTCTACGAGCGTGCCGGCAGGGTGAAGTGTCTGGGCAACCCAGAGAGAGAGGGCAGCGTCAGCATCGTGGGGGCGTGAGTACAGTTAACCTGCCAACACAATCTAGCCACGCTGGAATAGATAGAAGTGGAGTGCTTCTTCTAACGTTATAACCACATGTGACTGGTGTTCTGTTCCCTTTCCTCAGTGTGTCTCCCCCTGGTGGTGACTTCTCTGATCCTGTGACATCGGCTACCCTGGGTATCGTGCAGGTATGGATACAGCCTGTTTCTATCTGGCTCTGATAGACCACACTCATACATATGGAGCAAAGAAATACAGATCAGCTTTAGGGATTATCAATGATCAATCCTTATCTTCATCCTCTTCTTCTCTACCTGCCTCCTTCATCGTTTCTCCCACCCTCTCTCTCTCTCTGCCCCCCTAACTCTTTCCCTCCCTCTCTCTCTCAGGTGTTCTGGGGTCTGGATAAGAAGCTGGCCCAGAGGAAGCACTTTCCGTCAGTCAACTGGCTGATCAGCTACAGTAAGTACACGCGGGCGTTGGACGAGTACTACGACAAGCACTTCCCTGAGTTCGTCCCGCTGCGCACCAAGGCCAAGGAGATCCTGCAAGAGGAGGAGGACCTGGCTGAGATCGTACAGCTGGTTGGCAAGGTGAGAGGGAACGAAGGGGAGGGTGAAGAATGAGAAGGCAGGGATAACCAATGGCTGCCAGTCTACCCATTATGCCATCATTGTTCTATTCATTCTTATTTCTATGGGGATAACATTGGACTTCATCTCTATAGTTGTAAAGTATTTTATCTCTCAGAGTAGGTGAAAGAAACATGGAGGATGCCTATGAGTTTCCAGCTGCCCATCGTTTTGAGATCTGTGTAAATGAAGCGAGGATGGAACTTAATATTGTCCTTGTTGTCTTGGTGACAGGCCTCGCTGGCCGAAACTGATAAGATCACCCTGGAGGTGGCCAAGCTCCTCAAGGATGACTTCCTGCAACAGAATGGTTACACCCCCTACGACAGGTAAAACAGTGTCACCGTCTGACCTACTCAAATATTTCCGGCAAATACTGAAAGACTGTAACTCCCTGCCCTCTAAACTCCCTGCAGGTTCTGTCCCTTCTATAAGACAGTGGGCATCCTGTCCAACATCATAGCGTTCTACGACATGGCGCGGCACGCAGTGGAGACCACGGCTCAGAGCGACAACAAGATCACCTGGTCAATGATCAGAGAACACCTGGGAGAGATCCTCTACAAACTCAGCTCCATGAAGTTCAAGGTACAGCAGCAGTCTGACTGTTTCTCCATCTTTGTGTGTGTGTGTGTGTGTGTGTGTGTGTGCGCCCGCCCGCGTGTGTTCCTTGTCTTTCTTTCTACTTGTTTTATTTTCTCTCCTTGTACGTGTCTGTTTTTCCCTGTATCTCTCTGTGTCTTTCTATGTTGTCTCCATCTGAGTTTCTCTTACCATTTGTCTGTATTACGGCCTCTTTGGGGTGTTGTCTCTGTTTCTCAGCCTCTGTGTTACTCTATATGTCTGGTCTGTTATAGGACCCAGCCTCTGTGTTACTCTGTATATCTGGTCTGTTATAGGATCCAGTGAAGGAGGGTGAGGCCAAGATCAAGGCTGACTACGCCCAGCTGCTGGAGGACATGCAGAATTCCTTCCGCAGTCTGGAGGACTGAGCCTTCCCCCCCTGACCTTTCACCCCTGACCCCTTACCTCTGACCCCAGGGGCAGTGCATGTCTCTGGGTCACCCCCTCTCTCTCTGCAACAACCTCCACTGCAACCTCACATTCCACTGCCTTGTGTTTACAGCCAACCTCCTCTGTGTGAATGTGTATGGGCAAAAAGAGAACGAAATGTACTGTGTTCTTGTATTATGATCTGCCCCAACACCTTAATGTGTGTATGTTTACATGTCTGTGTGTGAGACGTCTCATCTCAGTCTTAAACCCTGCACTGCCCCTCCCTCCCCGTTTGTTTTGGACATGGTCTCTGGCCCTAGCTGTGCACCTGACGACATCAGTTGATGTAATTATAATTCATTACCCCCTCTATCTGTACAGAAGATTAACATGAAATACCTAAGCAGAGTGACTATTTATTGCAGGCGTGTGACGTGGACATCGCCTGGGCTGGTTGGTTGTTGTTTTTCTTATGATAGTGATTTACGCGTAGTAGTCTTGTACGTGTGTAAGAGATGTGCTCTCTTGTCCTCTCCTTTCCACTGCTCATGGGACAAGTGTTTGAGTCCCAAATAATAAAATGTTGAAAACGAAATAAAGCAACAAAACAAAATGGTGAATGTGGTGACTGTGTGTATTTCAGTAATGTCAGTGTTCTCTGCATGTTCTGTATGTGTAATCAAGATATTGCTACTAGTGTATAATTTGTGTGTACCGTACCAACAATAGTAGTAGTGAACACACAGATGATCATGTAAATTTGGTAGAGCATGGCGTTTGCAACGCCAGGGTTGTGGGTTCGATTCCCAAGGGGGGCCAGTATGAAAAAATAAACTGTAAGTCGCTCTGGATAAGAGCGTCTGCTAAATGACTAAAAATGTAAATGTAAATGTAAATAAGTGTATACACATATGCAGTCGTGTACAGTTGAAGTCGGAAGTTTACATACACCTTAGCTAAATACATTTAAACTGAGTTTTTCACAATTCATGACATTTAGTCCTAGTAAAAATTCCCTGTTATAGGTCAGTTAGGATCACCACTATTTTAAGAATGTGAAATGTCAGAATAATAGTAGAGAGAATGATTTATTTCAGCTTTTATTTATTTCATCACATTCCCAGTGGGTCAGAAGTATACATACACTCAATTAGTATTTGGTAGCATTGCCTTTAAATTGTTTAACTTGGGTCAAACGTTTCAGGTAGCCTTCCACAAGCTTCCCACAATAGGTTTGGGGAATTTTGGCCCATTCCTCCTGACAGAGCTGGTGTAACTGAGTCAGGTTTGTAGGCCTCCTTGTTCGCACACGCTTTATCAGTTCTTCCCACAAATGTTCTATAGGATTGAGGTCAGAGCTTTGCGATGGCCACTCCAATACCTTGACTTTGTTGTCCTTAAGCCATTTTGCCACAACTTTGGAAGTATGCTTGGGGTCATTGTCCCTTTGCAAGACTCATTTGTGACCAAGCTTTAACTTCCTGACTGATGTCTTGAGATGTTGCTTCAATATATCCACATAATTTTCCTTCCTCATGATGCCATCTATTTTGTGAAGTGCACCAGTCCCTCCTGCAGCAAAGCACCCCCACAGCATGATGCTACCACCCCTGTGCTTCACGGTTGGGATGGTGCTCTTAGGCTTGCAAGCACCACCTTTTTCCTCCAAACATAACAATGGTCATTATGGCCAAACAGTTCTATTTTTGTTTCATCAGACCAGAGGACATTTCTCCAAAAAGTACGATCTTTGTCCCCATGTGTAGTTGCAAACCGTAGTCTGGGATTTTTATGGCAGTTTTGGAGCAGTGGCTTCTTCCTTGCTGAGCGGCCTTTCAGGTTATGTCGATATAGGACTCGTTTTACTGTGGATATAGATACTTTTGTACCTGTCTCCTCCAGCATCTTCACAAGGTCCTTTGCTGTTGTTCTGAGATTGATTTGCACTTTTCGCACCAAAGTACGTTAATCTCTAGGAGACAGAACGCATCTCCTTCCTGAGTGGTATGACGGCTGCGTGGTCCCATGGTGTTCATACTTGCGTACTATTGTTTGTACAGATGAACGTGGTACCTTCAGGCGTTTGGCAATTGCTCCCAAGGATGAACCAGACTTGTGGAGGTCTACAAAAAAATGTCTGAGGTCTTGGCTGATTTATTTTGATTTTCCCATGATGTCAAGTAAAGAGGCACTTGGGTTTGAAGGTAGGCCTTGAAATACATCCACAGGTACACCTCCAATAGACTCAAATGATGTCAATTAGCCTATCAGAAGCTTCTAAAGCCATGACATCATTTTCTGGAATTTTCCAAGCTGTTTAAAGTCACAGTCAACTTAGTGTATGTAAACTTCTAACCCACTGGAATTGTGATACAGTGAAATAATCTGTCTGTAAACAATTGTTGGAAAAATTACTTGTCAGGCACAAAGTAGATGTCCTAACCGACTTGCCAAAACTATAGTTTGTTAACAAGAAATTTGTGGAATGGTTGAAAAACGTTTTAATGACTCCAACCTAAGTGTATGTAAACTTCCGACTTCAACTGTAAGTCATGTATGTGCGTGTGTGTGTTAGTGTAAGAGTGACATTATGTTTCTGGTGCTGCTGGTTAAACTAGTATTGCTAGGTGTCTCTGATCCCTGTGTGGAATCTGTGGCACCCCACCCTTTAGTTCTGCCTATGATTGTCCTTAGTAGAAGAAGAGGTAAGTTTGTCAGAAGACAGTAGTCACACCCTGTATCAATATCCTCTTCTCTATTGGAAAACTACAGACATGCATTCCTCTCCCTGACTAGTTATAGTGACTGAAATAATTTTGTAATGTAGATAGATAGTTTTGATAGTTGCTGGGCTGTGATTTTTTTATGTGCATGATGAGCCCTCAAAGTTTTTTTTTTTTTTTTGAGTTCATAACATTACCAGAAAATGGTCCCTTAAAAAAAAAAAAAAAAATACATTGAAATCTTTTGAGGGCTCATCATGCAGGCGGTTGAAGGCTCAGCCTTGGGTTGGAGAGATACAATAAATCATTCTCATAATTGATTGCCTATAAAACAATATATAAAAGCTTGATATATTGCATCCCCACGCCTGCCAATTAACATGATTTGATATGGGAATAGAGAGAACTGTGATTTGGTAAAGCACCTCCAGAACAAGTTCTGTTAGGGTGGAACAGAACAGAGAATTATGGATATTTTTAGAACCATTAGACAGCCATCAGTATGCAAATGTTAATGGGCAAAGCACGACGATGGTGACATCTCCTTCATGGTATTTTCCCTTATGGGCTGGGTTAGGTGATACCTGTTGCCAGGTGTACGGATTTGTAGCACATTGGCTATATGACGCCACTGCCATTTATTTTAGGGAACCTAGATGTACACATTACTAAAGGAAATTACTGATTTAGTTTTGCATTAATGAGATCTGAGGGGGGTCAAACGGAGCCGGTGGTGACATGTTTACAGGAATCCGCGACTTCACAAACCTTCATCCCAAACTCACATACGACTCGGTGCAGAAGATAAATATCTTGTGTCGTTTCCAGGTAGGTTATGAACGTGCACCGTCTTTTAACTGCTTATTACTAATTTAGTATCCCCCAAGAGATCCGACATGGTGGATGATGAAGACGCAGGGTAAATCCATTTGAATTCAATCACTTTTTGAGAGCACCCCTTTAGATTTGAACGAAACTTTACATATATATTTGCCCATTGTATAATTCCTCAGAATGGGACTTTTTGGACCTGAATGCGAAAACATTCAGAGAGATTTACAAGATATTATGGTGCATTAAATTACTGCGGTCAAGTGAGCGAGCATACACTCGCAAAACGCGGTCAAGCCATCTGCTCTTCAGTTTCCGAGGGTGCTAGTGTGAGGCTGCAGTACCCTAAAGGCGTCAGCATGCTTCAGTTTGGCTGGCTAGGCGAATTTGAACCGAACGAGTGTGCTTGGATACTCCCTTAAAAGAACCTCGCTTGGAAAACGAGAAAAAAGCTGCAATAGTACTGTTTGTCCATTGTCCGGAAGGTGCTGTTCAGGAAATGTTAAATTATCAAAGAAAGATGTGTTTACAGACAACATACAAACACAGTACACACAGCAAGATCTAAGTGAGTTTGATATGTTTTTTTTTTGTAGATCATTTATCCAGTGTGATGACCATTGCTTGCCTTACTATACCCATATTATGCCAATTTAAAATATGGATTAATATAATACAAGTTTAAGTAAAATTGGATGGTAAACATTTTCTCACGTCTGCCACTAGTACATCACAAATCCATTGTCATTAAAAATTGCAATGCATAACATGCCCATATTATGCCAGCTACAGCATAGGAAAAGCACTAGTTTTCTGTATATTACAGTGAACTTTGAGCTAATATAATTCAATTAAATAGTAGATCACTAATCCATTGTCATTAACATTGCAAAGCATAACAATTAATTGTGTTCAAATTGAATTATATGGGTTAGGAGATAGACCTGCATAAGATGTCATTTCCATCCATATACACTGCTCAAAAAAATTAAGGGAACACTAAAATAACACATCCTAGATCTGGGTGAATGAAATAATCTTATTAAATACTTTTTTCTTTATATAATATAATAATAATAATATAATATAATATGCCATTTAGCAGACGCTTTTATCCAAAGCGACTTACAGTCATGCGTGCATACATTTTTGTGTATGGGTGGTCCCGGGGATCGAACCCACTATCTTGGCGTTACAAGCGCCGTGCTCTACCAGCTGAGCTACAGAGGACCACATAGTTGAATGTGCTGACAACAAAATCACACAAAAATTATCAATGGAAATCAAATGTATCAACCCATGGAGGTCTGGATTTGGAGTCACCCTCAAAATTAAAGTGGAAAACCACACTACAGGCTGATCCAACTTTGATGTAATGTCCTTAAAACAAGTCAAAATGAGGCTCAGTAGTGTGTGTGGCCTCCACGTGCCTGTATGACCTCCCTACAACGCCTGGGCATGCTCCTGATGAGGTGGCGGATGGTCTCCTGAGGGATCTCCTCCCAGACCTGGACTAAAGCATCCGCCAACTCCTGGACAGTCTGTGGTGAAACGTGGTGTTGGTGGATGGAGCGAGACATGATGTCCCAGATGTGCTCAATTGGATTCAGGTCTGGGGAACGGGCGGTCCATAGCATCAATGCCTTCCTCTTGCAGGAACTGCTGACACACTCCAGCCACATGAGGTCTAGCATTGTCTTGCATTAGGAGGAACCCAGGGCCAACCACACCAGCATATGGTCTCACAAGGGGTCTGAGGATCTCATCTCGGTACCTAATGGCAGTCAGGCTACCTCTGGCGAGCACATGGAGGGCTGTGCGGCCCCCCAAAGAAATGCCACCCCACACCATGACTGACCCACCGCCAAACCGGTCTTGCTGGAGGATGTTGCAGGCAGCAGAACGTTCTCCACGGCGTCTCCAGACTGTGTCACGTCTGTCACATGTGCTCAGTGTGAACCTGCTTTCATCTGTGAAGAGCACAGGGCGCCAGTGGCGAATTTGCCAATCTTGGTGTTCTCTGGCAAATGCCAAACGTCCTGCACGGTGTTGGGCTGTAAGCACAACCCCCACCTGTGGACGTCGAGCCCTCATACCACCCTCATGGAGTCTGTTTATGACCGTTTGAGCAGACACATGCACATTTGTGGCCTGCTGGAGGTCATTTTGCAGGACTCTGGCAGTGCTCCTCCTGCTCCTCCTTGCACAAAGGCTGAGGTAGCGGTCCTGCTGATGGGTTGTTGCCCTCCTACGGCCTCCTCCACGTCTCCTGATGTACTGGCCTGTCTCCTGGTAGCGCCTCCATGCTCTGGACACTACGCTGACAGACACAGCAAACCTTCTTGCCACAGCTCGCATTGATGTGCCATCCTGGATGAGCTGCACTACCTGAGCCACTTGTGTGGGTTGTAGACTCCGTCTCATGCTACCACTAGTGAAAGCACCGCCACTGTCCGCCAGTATTCAAAAGTGACCAAAACATCAGCCAGGAAGCATAGGAACTGAGAAGTGGTCTGTGGTCATCACCTGCAGAACCACTCCTTTATTGGGGGGGTCTTGCTAATTGCCTATAATTTCCACCTGTTGTCTATTCCATTTGCACAACAGCATGTGAAATGTATTGTCAATCAGTGTTGCTTCCTAAGTGGACAGTTTGATTTCACAGAAGTGTGATTGACTTGGAGTTACATTGTGTTGTTTAAGTGTTCCCTTTATTTTTTTGAGCAGTGTACTTCTTAGCATTGTCTGCAAAGTGTAACCCTCTTCAGGAGAGACCAGCCATGAACAGACCCCTTTATAGCAGCAAGATGTCCAGTCCAGTAGTCATTCTATAATGACTGCTGGAGGTGACCTTCTAAAGCTACCAGGTAACATGATAACACATCTCTTCTATCCAGTCAGCGGAACAGTGGGTCTGATGGACCAGGTGTCCCGGTCAGGGGTGAGCAGTGATGCCACAGATGAGAGCCTCCATGGGGGAGTACAGGTGGAGCTCTGAGGAACATGAGGTAAGATCCAGAGAGCCCTTCGCTTTACCTGTCCATGACTATCATGCACTGACCCCTACATAGTATAACATGCCATGAAGTCTGCCTATTCGCCCACCCATACAAACATAAACCCAGCATGAGGATGATGTAGCTTTAATTAGGAATTATTGATGCTATGGTTTTTAATAATAATAATAATAATATGCCATTTAGCAGACGCTTTTATCCAAAGCGACTTACAGTCATGCGTGCATACATTTTTACGTATGATTTATGATTTAATGTATACTAACTTCAAACTGCACTTGCACTGTAGCACTTTTGTACTTTGTATAGTTTTATTTAATGATCTCGAGGATGATTTTCTCCTGATGGTGTTTGTCTGTTTTAATGTGGTGAAGCCAGACACATTTCCACATTGTGTGGACAATAACGTTTCCTGCCCTCTAGTGGAGAAGACGTTCCATTACATTCTGACCATTCTGCCATCTATTATGCTGACATCACTTCATCACATTTAGCTTTTGTCGCGATGTACTAGTGACAGTGTACAAAGCTCATGGGCCGATACAGTTTTTCAGCTACATTAGTGTTCAGTTCTTGGTCTTCTCTGTATTTAATGAATAGCGAGAGCATATTGACCAACTATCACTTTAATATATAATATGTATATACACACTGACTGTACAAAACATTAGGAACTCTTTCCATGACAGACTGACCAGGTGAATCCAGGTGAAAGCTATGACCACTTATTGATGTCATTTGTTAAATCCGTTTCAATCAGTGTAGATGAAAGGAGGAGATAGGTTAAAGAAGGAGTTTCAAGCCTTGAGACATGGATTGTATGCGTGTGTGCCATTCAGAGGGTGAATGGGCAAGACAAAATATTTAAGTGCCTGGTAGTAGGTGCCAGGCGCACCAGTTTGAGTGTGTCAAGAACTGCAACGCTGCTGGGTTTTTCACGCTCAACAGTTTCCCCTGTGTATCAAGAATGGTCCACCACCCAAAGGACATCCAGCCAACTTGACACAACTGTGGGAGGCATTGGAGTCAACATGGGCCAGCATCCCTTTGGAACACTTTTGACACCTTGTAGAGTCCATGCCCCGACAAATTGAGTCTGTTCTGAGAGCAAAAGGGGAAGCAACTCAATATTAGGAAGGTGTTTCTAATGTTTTGTACACTCAATCTGCCTTCAGAAAGTATTCAAACCCCTTGACTTTTTCCACATTTTGTTGTGTTACAGCCTGAATTTAAAATGGATTCAATTGAAATGTTGTGTCACTGGCCTACACACAATATCCCATAATGTCAAAGTGGTAATTTTTTTTATTACAAATTAATAAAAAACAAAAACTGAAATGTCTTGAGTCAATAAGTATATTCAACCACTATGTTATGGCAAGCCTAAATAAGTTCAGGAGTAATAATATGCCTAGCAAGTCACATAATAAGTTGCATGGACTCACTCTGTGTATGATAAGTGTTTAACATGATTTCTGAATGACTACCTCATCTCTGTAGGCCAAATATACAATTATCTGTAAGGTCCCTCAGTCAAGCAGTGAATTTCAAACACAGATGAAACCACAAAGACCAGGGAGGTTTTCCAGTGGCTAGCAAAGAATGACACATATTGGTAGATGGGATAAAAACATATATACAGTACCAGTCAAAAGTTTGGACACACCTACTCATTCCAGGGTTTTTCTTTATTTTTACTATTTTCTACATTGTGGTAAATTCAATTGATTGGACATGATTTAGAAAGGCACACACCTGTCTATATAAGGTCCCACAGTTAACAGTGCATGTCAGAGCAAAAACCAAGCCATGAGGTCGAAGGAATTGTCCGTAGAGCTCCGAGACAGGATTGTGTCGAGCAACAGATCTGGGGAAGGGTACCAAAACATTTCTGCAGCATTGAAGGTCCCCAAGAACAGAGTGGCCTCCATCATTCCTAAATGGAAGAAGTTTGGAACCACCAAGACTCTTCCTAGAGCTGGCCGCCTGGCCAAACTGAGCAATCAGGGGAGAAGGGCCTTGGTCAGTGAGGTGACCAAGAACCCGATGGTCACTCTGACAGAGCTCTAGAGTTCCTCTGTGGAGATGGGAGAACCTTCCAGAAGGACAACCATCTCTGCAACACTCCACCAATTAGGCCTTTATGGTAGAGTGGCCAGATGGAAGCCACTCCTCAGTAAAAGCCACATGACAGCATGCTTGGAGTTTGCCAAAAGGCATCTAAAGACTCTTAGACCATGAGAAACAAGATTATCTGGTCTGATGTAACCAAGATTGAACTCTTTGGCCTGAATGGCAAGCGTCACGTCTGGAGGAAACCTGGCACCATCCCTACGGTGAAGCATGGTGGTGGCAGCATCATGCTGTGGGGATGTTTTTCAGCGGCAGGGATTGGGAGACTAGTCAGGATCGAGGAAAATATTAACGGCGCAAAGTACAGAGAGATCCTTGATGAAAACCTGCTCCAGAGCACTCAGGACCTCAGACTGGGGTGAAAGTTCACCTTCCAACAGGACAACGACCCTAAGCACACAGCCAAGACAAAGCAGGAGTGGCTTCGGGACAAGTCTCTGAATGTCCTTGAGTGGCCCAGCCAGAGCCCAGACATGAACCCGATCTAACATTTCTGGAGAGACCTGAAAATAGCTGTGCAGCAATGCTCCCCATCTTAACCTGACAGAGCTTGAGAGGATCTGCAGAGAAGAATGGGAGAAACTCCCCAAATACGGTTGTGCCAAGCTTGTAGCGTCATACCCAAGAAGACTCGATGCTGTAATCGCTGCCAAAGGTGCTTCAACAAAGTACTGAGTAAAGGGTCTGAGTACTTATGTAAATGGCATATTTTTATATTTTATATTTAATAAATTAGCAAACATTTATAGATACCTGTTTTTGCTTTGTCATCATGGGGTATTGTGTATAGACTGATGAGTAAAAAAAACTATTTAATCAATTTTAGAGTTAGGCTGTAACGTAACAAAATGTGGAAAAAGTCAAGGGGTCTGAATACTTTCCGAAGGCACTGTATATATGAAAAATAACTGAATGCAGCAGTTTCAGCCAGCACGACCTCTGTACTATAGTAATTACTATTCAAATGAGCTTTGTGATTATAATGTTATCTCTGCGGCCTGTCAATCAGATGTCCGACCGTCAGGGCCAGTGTCTGGTCGCCCCCCAAGCCCTGCCGGCCCCACCTACAAACAGAGGGTTGAGGAGTTCAAGAAGCTGTTCAGAGAACTGCCTGAGTCAGAGAGACTCATCGTGGGTGAGTTACGTGTGTGTGAGAGAGTGAGAAATGGAGAAAGAGGGAGAGAGATGGGAGAGAGGCCCCATCCAGAAACGGACCCTATATTATCATAATCTCTCAAAAACAAAACATATCGGCACCTCTCTCACCTGCAACTTCCCTCAGCAGACTTCCTTTATACAGTTTACCTGCATATACCAGCACACCTGTACTATACTTACTTGTGTCAAGGTGCGTCCCGTGTCTTTTCCCAGACTATACCTGTGCCCTCCAGAGAGACATCCTACTGCAGGGACGCATCTACCTTTCGGAGAACTGGCTCTGTTTCTATAGCAACGTGTTTTGGGGGACAAAGGTGAGCTCACACATGGGGGAGAGAGGTAAATGGGGAGAGACGGAAAATATAAATAAAATATAGGAGTTTTCTGTTTAGGGGATTAATTAATCAGATCATGATATGCTGTAAATATGTGTATGTATTGCATTATTCTGGTCGTGTTAAATGTGTTCAATGTTCTCTGTGGTTGTAGACGGTCATATACTTTATTTAGAGAGTTGGGCCAATGCGGTTTCTCTCTGAACATTCCGAGAGCGCCACTTTCTCCTCAATAGCCGTTGCTAAGTGATAATTAACGCTTCCGCATTGTGCTGTTTATTGCTGATAGTTTTCAATACTTATGAAGATGTCCAGTGAAAGCAGATATGCAATTTGTTGACTTGGATACACATTATCCCGAATCCTAATCAATAAAAATGTCTGTTAAATACGCTGCTCTGTTTTGCTTGTTAACAGCGGGTCATTTCATAGGGAACTTTTCGGAGGACCTCTTCTATTGTTCCATCACCAACATGTAGAGAATAAAGGCGCTAACATGGCAGAACTCTCTTAATATATGGCTCTGGTCGTAGCCTTGAATCTGGAAGTCATCACTGTGCTCTGTGATCGTAGATAGCCTTGAATCTGGAAGTCATCACTGTGCTCTGTGGTCGTAGATAGACTTGAATCTGGAAGTCATCACTGTGCTCTGTGGTCATATATATTCTTGACTCTGGAAGTCATCACTGCTATATTGTTGTATATAGCCTTGAATCTGGAAGTCATCACTGTGCTCTGTGGTCGTAGATAGCCTTGACTCTGAGGGACATCAAGGCCATGTACAGAGAGAAGACAGCACGGCTGATCCCCAATGCCATTCAGATCTGCACAGACTCAGAGAAGGTACAGAACAGTCACTCAAACACCACCTGGGTTCTGTTCAATATCCCTGGACAGTTGCACTAACGCCCTGGACCAGAGCTAAGAGACCCTGTCCTTTTCATGGTTTAACCCCTCAAGCAAAATGTTTTGCTCAAGAGTAGGCCTACAGCTGCAGCACTGACAAAATAACATGTTCCTCATCCCTTCTGTCTATCCTAAATGCAAACCAATGGATGGTTACCACTGCAATAATATTAACTAAAGCGTCTGTCACTCTCTTCCCTACAGTTGTTCTTCACTTCCTTCTCAGCCAGAGAGAAGAGTTACCAGGGAGTGTTCCGGATGTGGCAGAACACTCTGATGGACAAGGTGAGGCACAGTTCAGCGACTTCATAACCTTACCTCACTCACTGGGGCTGACTTCATAACCTCACCTCACTCACTGGGGCTGACTTCATAACCTCAACTCACTCACTGGGGCTGACTTCATAACCTCACTTCACTCACTGGGGCTGACTTCATAACCTCACCTCACTCACTGGGGCTGACTTCATAACCTCACCTCACTCACTGGGGCTGACTTCATAACCTCACCTCACTCAATGGGGCTGACTTCATAACCTCACCTCACTCACTGGGGCTGACTTCATAACCCCACCTCACTCACTGGGGCTGACTTCATAACCTCACCTCACTCACTGGGGCTGACTTCATAACCTCACCTCACTCACTGGGGCTGACTTCATAACCTCACCTCACTCCACTGGGGCTGACTTCATAACCTCACCTCACTCACTGGGGCTGACTTCATAACCTCACCTCACTCACTGGGGCTGACTTCATAACCTCACCTCACTCACTGGGGCTGACTTCATAACCTCACCTCACTCACTGGGGCTGACTTCATAACCTCACCTCACTCACTGGGGCTGACTTCATAACCTCACCTCACTCACTGGGGCTGACTTCATAACCTCACCTCACTCACTGGGGCTGACTTCATAACCTCACCTCACTCACTGGGGCTGACTTCATAACCTCACCTCACTCACTGGGGCTGACTTCATAACCTCACCTCACTCACTGGGGCTGACTTCATAACCTCACCTCACTCACTGGGGCTGACTTCATAACCTCACCTCACTCACTGGGGCTGACTTCATAACCTCACCTCACTCACTGGGGCTGACTTCATAACCTCACCTCACTCACTGGGGCTGACTTCATAACCTCACCTCACTCACTGGGGCTGACTTCATAACCTCACCTCACTCACTGGGGCTGACTTCATAACCTCACCTCACTCACTGGGGCTGACTTCATAACCTCACCTCACTCACTGGGGCTGACTTCATAACCTCACCTCACTCACTGGGGCTGACTTCATAACCTCACCTCACTCACTGGGGCTGACTTCATAACCTCACCTCACTCACTGGGGCTGACTTCATAACCTCACCTCACTCACTGGGGCTGACTTCATAACCTCACCTCACTCACTGGGGCTGACTTCATAACCTCACCTCACTCACTGGGGCTGACTTCATAACCTCACCTCACTCACTGGGGCTGACTTCATAACCTCACCTCACTCACTGGGGCTGACTTCATAACCTCACCTCACTCACTGGGGCTGACTTCATAACCTCACCTCACTCACTGGGACTGACTTCATAACCTCACCTCACTCACTGGGACTGCATCCCGAATGGCACCCTATTGCCTATAAAGTGCACAACTTTTTTATTTGGTTATGTTTTATTGAACCTTTATTTCAGTTAAGAACAAATTCTTATTTACAATGATGGCCTACCAAAAGGCAAAAGGCCTCCTGCGGGGACGGGGACTGGGATTAAACAATGGCATTTCTATGACAAGGATATTTATATGAACAGTAGGAGTTATGCTAAGCACAGATCTAGGATAATCTTCCCCTCACGCAATCCTACCCTTGCTAATAAGGAAATCATAGGACGATAATATGGTAATAAGCAAAACTGGGGAGATTGGGAGGTTCTCAATTGGTTTGCTCAACTCTTCCGTCCTCCCCTCCTTTTGAAAAAGGTCAAAGGTATATAAGGAGAGGAACTGTGGAAACAGATGCACTTGTATGAAATGACTATCCTTCACTTGTGCATCATCATACAAAGGATGTTTACAGGGGTAGAGTACCTAATGAAATGTGTAAGGTAGTAAAAAGACGTAGCTAGTTGTGACATTTTCTAGATAAAAGGATAAGTAGCATATTGTTTTTAAATATGTGTATGCTTTTCTCCTCCGAGTAAACAACTGATTCAAAGGGGTTGTGGCGGATCTCAAAACTCGTCCGAGAAGGACTCTGGTAGAATACTCCTGTGCTTCCTCGGCGGGAGGAGGCTATCAAGGAGGCGAGGACACTCCTCCATTCGCCTACTAACTAATTGACACTCTCCTCGACCACTTATCGGTTTCCGGGTCACGGAGGAGAGAGGACGGTATTTTGCCCACATTAGAATATCTCATCGAATGGCTCTGGGAGAATCTCTATTGTATACTCCTCGCCTCCTTCTCAAAACCCATTGGATGGAAAAGCCAGAGGTCCCATACCCACTAACCTTCTCCTCCAATGGGTGTTGAGGAGACGTGTAGAGAGGACCCAATTGAGATTCTCCCATTGATCAAGTTACATGGACACCAACTACTAGATAACCCCTCACCATGGATACTACCTGGTTATCATAGCTCTAGTCTGTCATTTCATGCAACCTATCCGGATTCCTATGTAGTTTGCAAGGCTTCTGTGACTTTACCCTGGCTGACTGCAAGGCTTCATTAGACTTTACCCTGGCTGACTGCTCTAATCAGTCCTGAGTAAACACCATGCTCCTTTGACTGGCCCCATGTCCCTAAACGAGGTTACCATGTCATTCAGTTCTTATGCTGTATACAAGGGGAAGTGGCAGGCTGAATATTCATAATGTTTTCTTTTTTTTTGGGGGGGGGGGGGGGGGGGGGGTGGATCAGCTTAATATTGCAGATAGATTGTATCTTCTATCAATGTAATTGTCTGCATCACTTCCAATCCCCCATGTTTTTTTATATATATACTCCCCTTTATTACTTTTCAACCCCGCCATCCTTTCCCTACTTGGAGTAAATTAGTGAACAACAATGCCCAGGCCTCTACTTCCGGTCTATACTTACTATCTACACCTTACATTTACATTTTAGTCATTTAGCAGACGCTCTTATCCAGAGCGACTTACAGTTAGTGAATACATATTATTATTTTTTATACTGCCCCCCCCGTGGGAATCAAACCCACAACCCTGGCGTTGCAAACGCCATGCTCTATCAACTGAGCTACATCCCTGCCGGCCATTCCCTCCCCTACCCTGGACGACGCTGGGCCAATTGTGCGCCGCCCATGAGTCTCCCGGTCGCGGCCGGCTGCGACAGAGCCTGCATTCGAACCAGGATCTCTAGTGGCACAGTTAGCACTGCGATGCAGTGCCTTAGACCACTGCGCCACTCAGGAGTAGACCTTATGGACAGAGTACATTTTACAATAATTCTATTATATATATATATATATATATATATATATATATATATATATATATATATATATATATATATATATATATATATATATATATATATATATATATATATATATATATATATATATATATATATATATATATATATATATATATATATATAATGTTTTCTTTCTTATAATGTACTGGCTCTTTTGATAGCAAAGTTGAGATAAAAACATACAAGGACCTAGAATGAATGCAACTTATTGTGGCAACTAGTGCAATATGGAAGACTGGACCAAGGGAATTAAGCTGTCAAAACAACCCCACAATAACACTGGTGTGGCTCGGGAGTAAGCGAGTGAAGGTAAAGTTCAATGACCCCTCAAGGTGTGGCTAGGTGGGTTAATTTGCATAAGACACAGACGCTGCCCCCGAGAAAGCGCTGTCGTTTCATTATCTCGCCATTCTTCAGGGGAACAGATCTGATTTCCGTTGCCGCTGAACGTTCACGAGCTTGGCATCTAATATAGCTTTTATCGAAGCTACCTATCTTTCTATCAATGGGCAGAGCGCTCTTGTTCCTATTGTAGGGCTAAGCGCCTAACTTCCTGATTGCTTTGTGACGGTGCACAGGTTATAGTTCAGTCCAGCTACCAGACAGGTATACATAACAACTGTTGGGAAAGATCGAAATAGCTACAAAGTAAGTAAAATAACTTTAAAATTGCCTTTTGTGATGATATAAATTATGATTAGCTGTGCGCAGTTTGGATTAGGCAAAAGAAACCGTGGTTCCATATGGCCGCTTTCTTGACTAGATTCTGTTGCATGGGAAATATATATATATATATTTTTGACTCATAAGTGGTCAACTATTGAACAATCTCGCAAAAGATTTTTTAAGTAATCTACATTTCCTTATTACGCATCACGGTGTCCATAAACATGCTATTTTGTAGGTATTTATCAATAGCTACAGGGTACAATTTTCACTATGAGCAAGGTAGCAGCCATCTTTTTGTCAGTTCTTTATAAAATTGTTATTTTTTAAATTGGCTGGTCATAATTTAATTCCAATCAAAGGTTGTAGTCTACAATGCGTGTGTTGTTTTTTTTTTTCAATCTCTTGTGACATCAGTGTGGTTGAGTAAGGAGCAGGTTAGGGCTGTTCTGTTGAATTTAAACTAGGACACTGGAGGTAGTGTGAGATTCATACACCGGTGGAAGATGGTTATCTTGTTACAGGAAGCCAGACAGAGGAATTCATCCTTATAACTTTTATTTTGATTGAACTTTCGCACGTTATAGCCTACAAGTAGCTGATTGGGGGTGACACTACCAGGAAAGCAGTTGCTTTTCCGTGATAACAGAACTCTATTCAAGTGCCACTGTTTGCCGTGTACCATCTTCCGCTCTCTCTCCTAGCCACTGACTAGTTTGGCGCTGTGGCAGATGGTCAAGCAGCACTATGGTAATGACCTGGGCCTGAGTCATGAAGAGATGGAAAGTCTACAGACATCAGCCGAATCAACCACGCAGACACACACCAGGTGAGAAGGACCACACACACCTGGATCTCTCTCTCTCTGTCTCTGTCTGTCTGCACAATGAACAACATACACTCACCTACATCTCTGTCTGACACATTTCTTCAACCTGTTTACCCACCTGGTCTGTGGCAGCCTGACCATGATGCCTGGTGGAGAGGACTCTGGGAGGCTGGAGAGGCCATCTACTCTGCGCCTCCAGCCAGGGGATCGGGGCTCCTTTGAGCTCACCACGCCCCAGGGAGAGGACCTACCCTCACCCCTCAGACAGAGCTCTGTCAACTCAGGGAACACAGTACGACACCTCTTTGAAGTCACATAGATCACGTCATTACACTCTTTTTGTTTATAAAGCCCTGCTCCACAAACTTCCGACTTATCTTACATCACTGTTAACATTTAAAATGACAAGTCATCAAACCCGTTCACAGGGTTGGTTAACTCTGTAGACTCCTTTGGTGTCTAGAGAATTAGGTAAATCAGCCTTTAATTTCCTTGCACCTTACGTGTGGAATGATCTACAATACAGTTTAAAATGGGAGGAATTGGTGCCTCTAGGGCATTTCAGACAGTTGTTAGGGGACCTTTTTACTGAAGAATGTGTCTGTTTTTATGATTGTTTTGCTTTTTGTGTATTTTATTGTGTATATGAATGTGTAGTTGCATGTGTTTATTGTATATTGATAGGTATTGTGGTGCTATACAGGCCTCATCTGGAAAAGAGACCTCTGTCTCAGCATTGACTCCCTGTCAAAATAAAGGTTCAAGAAAAATTCTCACACAAGGCTTGGATGATATCAAGTGATCGCCTTAGAGTCATATTGTCTCCACATATTCTCTTCATTGTCTAATGAGTATTGCAAGTGAATGACCAGTACATTGATGGCATTTATAGCAAGGCTTCCATAGCCAGGGAAGAGTGACATTGCCATTGTGTGTGTCCTACAGGATGATGCTTGCAGCACCTCGTCTCGGCACACTCCTGACCCGTCCCTGGACCGCTCTGCCCCGGAGCGGGTCTCCAAGCGCTCTGAGCTCTCTCTGGACCTCAACTCTAAGTTGGACCGCTTCTCTGAACAGAGCGGCTCGGAGAGTGCAGAGGAAGGTGAGAATTACCACCCACTGTGTGTGTGGGTGTTCATTGGTTCTACCCAAAAGGCATGTGCGTGGTAGTACTATTGACCCTCAAATGTGTTTGTTAAATGCATGCTACTTTAGTGTTTGTTTGTTTTGATGCTAGTGACGCCATCTTAAATGTGTTTGTAGAGGCATTCCTCTGATATTCTGCTACCCCCCCTGTAGAGGAGAGGAGGTGTGTGTCCCAGCAGCATGGCAGGCTCTATGTGAACAGGGTCTTCAACATCAGTGCAGAAAATATGTTTGAGCTGCTCTTTACCGAATCCCACTTCATACGAAGATTCATGAACGCCAGGAAGATCACCAGTGAGTCATCTCCCCATCCACCCTGTTATAAGCCACAGTCCTCCTCTGATTTAAGACGGACTAGTCCTTCAAGCTATTTTTTTAAATGCGACTGTCCAAGCGTTGTTCTAATGTCTTTGTGCGTGTGTGAAATATTTGAGGCCTTCCCATCTCGTTGCTTAACTGTGGTACCAAATGAAGTAGTAGAAATGTGTTTTGTGTTCACCTACGTGTGATTGTCGTCAGATGCCATCCTCGCCCCGTGGCAGAGTGACGCGTCAGGCTCCATGAAGAGGAGTCTCAACTACACCATCACCATCACAAACCCTCTGGTGGGCAAGTTCTCCACCGCCACAGAGAACCAGGTGAGCCTAGGTCTGCACGGCGTGTGGAGTGTTTTTAGTAGTGCAGGTGTGTGGAAAGTGTTTTGAGGTAGTGTTTTCTCCAGAGTGTGTGTAACTCCTCTGTTGTCCTGTCAGATCCTGTACAAGGAGTCCAGGGAAGGTCAGTATTACCTCGTCGACTCTGAGGTCTACACACACGACGTTCCGTACCATGACTACTTCTACACTCAGAACCGCTACTGTATCATCCGCCATTCCAAACGCAAATGTCGACTCAGGTGAGCAGCAGAGACAACACAGCCTTTCGACATAATTATCTGCTCGGTTTACTTTAGGGTAAAGACTTTCAGGGTATTGGGGTTGAGCTTCTCGTTGCGCTCATGGTCTCTTTGTTCAGTCCAAATGTGCCTTTACATGTTTTTTGTGTGTCAAAGACCAATCAATATCCCCTAGGAAAGGTAAATTCACTTCCAACTATTGTGGGCCAATGTATTGTTGATTCCCTTCTCCCTGATAGCTATTGGTCAGTCTGAAGCCGAAGATCAGCAGTGCTGTCTGTGTACAGCCCTCCAGGACATATCTTCCAGCTTTATTGGAGTTATTCCTCTAGGGGCATAAAGCCTCCTATTCTCATATCCTAGGTCTGTGACTTCATAGCACCTATTTGCTGTGCCCAGTGGTTGACTGACTTCTTTTAATAAATACTAAATGTTTGGTACTTCAGAGTTTGGTTACTAATTACCCATTACATAATTTGAATATAGATCATTTGATTACTATTCAATTACAACTGAAGAGTTGATGTGTTCAGGGTGTACACTGATGTGAAGTATAAGAAGCAGCCGTGGGGGCTGGTCAAGTCCTTCATCACCAAGAACTCTTGGAGTGGCCTGGAGGACTACTTCAGACACCTGGGTAGGCAGTAGGCTGCTGCAGCCCTGGAGATCTATTTATCTCTCTCTCTCTCCACTCCCATCTTTCAGAATATCAGTCTGTCTTGTCCCCTCTTTCTCTGTAGTTGTTCAAGTCTCTCCTTGTTTGAGTGTACCTTCCTCTGAGAGCCCGTCTTCCTGCCTCTTCACTTCTCTATCTCCAATGAGTCTCTCTGCATGTGAGTGTTGGGTTAGCCATAATAGGCACCTGCTCTCTATGTATGTTGCTGCTTCACTGGTTTGTGTCCAGCTCCCTCTCTCCTATAGTGTATAACGACCAGTCTCCCTCCCCTTCCTCTCACCATCCCCCTATCCTCTGCTCTTCTCTTAGTCACCCTCTCCAGTCTCGTCAGATTACATTAGATCTGAATCAAAGCCCTGCACTCACACTGACAGTCCAACTCTCCTCATGAGATGTCGATTAGAACCCCCCGTCCCCACAGACTGCACGGCAGTCCTCTCTACATAACCCCTACCACTTCTAGTCATCTATTGACCCTGTCTTCCAAGCCATTTGACCCGACTTTTCCTTTGACCCTATGTCATCACAGAATCGGAGCTGATGGAAGAGGAGGTGGAGCTGAACCAGGGAGGCGGAGACCCCGGTAAGATGATGGGCGGGTTGCGTCATTGGCGGAGGAGGACGTTCAGTCGGACACTACATGATCACCTGAAGCCCAGCAAGCAGTACGAGCCCGACCTAGACACTCACAGAGAGGGCAACACGGGTACATACATGTTCTGTTATTTAACCCTTAACAACCATCTTCTGACACACAGATAACATTACACGTACTATATGAGTGCATGGCACAAACACTCAATCAGTCAAATGACCTACAATATACACAGTCATCTGTCTTCCATTCAAGCTGTGTCTCCTGTAATGACTGTACCCCTCTCTCCCCGGTTGTATGTCAGATCCCATAGAAATGAATGGTCCACATCGGTGGAACATCTCTACCATCGTAGCTGGGATGAGCGTCATGTAAGTCAACACCACCAGTCAACACTCAAAGGGTGTAGCTGTAAATCATGCACTTTTTCTATTGTCTGTCTGTGTTTGAGTACTTTCTTCTATGAGTACATTCTGCTTCATGAGCTCAAACAGTACTTAGGTGCAGTATATTAGCCAGTTGTTTGTTGAACTTTGTCAGGTAATCAGAAACCTCATTGCCTCTCTCTGTCTGTCTGTCTGTCTGTCTGTCTGTGTCTGTGTCTCTGTGTGTGTGTGTGTTCCCAGTCTGCTGATCCTAACAGTGCTGAACCTGGGGTTGTTCTTTAAGCTGTGGGCCATGGAGGACGTGGCCACCCGCATGTATCTGAGCACCAAGCAACGCCTCCGGGAGAGGACCGAGCGCAGGTAAGCTGCTGCACACTGGGCGAAGGCCTGCACTTACTTTTCACATTACATTTGAGTCATTTAGCAGACACTCTTATCCAGAGCGACTTAGTGTATTCATCTTAAGATAGCTACGTGAGACAACCACATATCACAGTCGTAGTAAGTAAATGTTTCCTCAATAAAGAAGTTATCAGACAGGTTAGTGCTAGTAGAAAAAGTCAAATGCTAGACAATCTATAACCTAACCTTAACCAAACACCTAACCCTAACAATTTTAACCAATTAAAAAACAAATACAGTATATCGGTTTGCACGTCAGCCACGTCCCCTTAGCATTCATCCAAGTCAGGAAAAACGTTGTTTCACCATTTCCTGGAGTAATCACTGATCTGACAGGATTGGGTTGTTGTGGAATTCTCTCTCTCTCTCTCTCTCTCTCTCTCTCGTCATGCTGACTATGTCCGTCTCCTCAGTTTTGCCCCTGACTTCTTCCCTGGACCGGCCCCGCAATACAGGACCAGAGAGGAGACTTTGCTGCTGAAAGCAGTACTGCAGGACTCCATCAACCTACTGGAGCAGGTCAGTCAGACGACCAGCTATGTTTGTGTTACAGGTAATTTACAGACAATGACAATTTCTTTCCTCTCCTCTTTTCCCCACAGCTCCGCAGATCTCTGTCGCTGCTTCAGCAGAAATTTGTAACCAACAGAACAGCAATCCTGCAGTGACGCTGTCACACCTGGGGATCTCACTGCGCCCTCTGATCCCTGGGGTTGTAAAGGCTACAGGGACGCGCCTCTGAGGACTCTCTCGTAACCAGGGGCATTGCCATAGGGACGACCCACGCACAGACTTGTTACTAAGCGCAACAACGGTATTAAAGTCCCAGGGCCTTTAATAGTGTGGTACCAGGTAGATGGATGTTTTTATAGCTCAACTGTTGGCACTGCGGAGGAAGAAAATGGTTCACTGCGTACCCCTTCCATTGCCAAGCCAATCACAGCAGATGTGAGCCAATGGTGTGATGAGTGCAGCAGATGAGCGCCAATGTTTTGATATAAATAAATGTCAATGTAAGGAATCCATGAAATATTTTAACTTTTTGCACAGTGCTTTGTGTACTTTTTATGGTTTCTAGATTAATTTTGAATATATTTTTTTCAATTCGAAAGCTTTCTGAATGTAATTTAATAATATATTTGGATGGCCATGGGTTTCTGCTCTTGTGAAAATGTGAATAATTATGCAGTAAAAAAAAAAGCTTTTATTTTAGCCTTGGATGGTTTGGTTTTGCAGCTGGTTTGTAGATGTACAGCAGACCTCAATATCAGGGTTGTGTTCAGAAGGGTGCAATGTTCTGAACGCTGCAGATATAAATGCCTTTTATAAAGCTGTCATGAAACCTTATTCTACATGAGTTTGTTCTACATAATATATTTATATCTGAACGTTCTGTAACGTTGCACCCCACTGAACGCGCCCCAGGTGAACTTTCTCAGGAGAATTTGGTCAGAGCCAAAACATCCCGATGTAATAATACTGATTACATTTAGTTAATCCTGATAGCTGTCCCATGTAGGCTAGACTAGAGGGTTAGTGGCTGTTCTGTAATTAATATTCCATCCACATGACACACACCCATTCAAGAAGCCACAGCACTAAAATGCTGCACTGCTTTTGTGTACGTCCACTATAAGAATGTGTTGTTAACTTTGTTTGAATTATGACTGTAAATGACCATTTACAATGACTAATGTGTGTGTGTGTGTGGGGCGGTACAGCTTCAGACTGTATGTAACACCCACCCTTATTGTTTTATAATAGCACAGGAATCTTCCTACCGTTGTTACATGGCATCACTATGAACCATTGGCTGTGAATAGTTTACACACACATCGTGTACTCACACACACTGTATAATTTGTTTTCCAAACTAACCATTTATGAAGTTGGATTATGTTGGCTATTTTGTACATTTGTTAGACAAAGATGTAATGTATTGTTGCTTTGAATAAAGAAACAATTTCCTGCCACATGTTATTCTTGTCGATGTAGGGTGGGGGGCAGGTTATGGGTATGGCCAGGCTAAAAGCACTGTAAGTCAGCATAAGACATCTTTCTACTTTTAACATACTGCTCTAATCACATTTGTGAATGTGTGTGAGAGCGAGTGAGATTGAGGTTATGTCACTCTATCAGCACAAATGCAAGGTGGTAGTAAAACTGTTAGACTTGTAACCAAGATGCTGCATATTTAGTTACAGTAGTTGAGCAAAGTCCTTATGTGTAAGAGCACCCGCTGTCTTTGAAAATGAATAGGCAACATTTCTGTGGCTGTTGAAATATACTGTCAGAAGAGACAACAGTGGTTAAACTTCCAGGGGACCTAATGCAATTTGCTTCATTCAAGATCATACGAAATCCACCATACCTCAACACCTCACTAATGTCACAGAACTCTCCAGTTGATAGGCAATACTTTGCCAACAACTGATCTTTGACCTTTGCTGAAACAATAACTCGGCTTGGGACCGAAATAGCCTTCCCTATAACATTTTACGTTTACATTTTTGTCATTTAGCAGACGCTTTTATCCAGAGCGACTTACAGTAGTGAGTGCATACATTTTCGTACGAAAATATGTCTATGGGTTGAACAGTTAAAATAAGCTTAATGTTTGCTTATTTCATTGAACATGCTAATGTTGATAGACAGTACACTAGTCTTGATGCAGATTGGTAAAAGTTCATCTGAGGGAAAGAAAGGGTTACCCCCTCTATTGACGGCAGAAGTATGAAGGAGAAACTGTCCTTGCAATCTAGACAGCACAGGCAGGCCTGTTGCCGCCTACTGACTAGACAACCCCAGCGACGGAGGAGGTGTAGGCTATGTTTGGACCTCTGCGCTTCATACATACATACCAGCGGAGAAGACTATCTCTTAAAAAGTAGAATGGAGTGACTATAGCTAGGGTTCCAGCGTTTTCCATGGTAGCCTCTACAGCAGTGACGCGCGTGGTCTGGGATAGGAATGACTAATACATCGGAAGGGGGACGAAATAGCCTACATACCTTGTTTGATTAACAACAGAGTAGCCTAAACTTGCAACAGGACAGTCGGGCAGGTAGGCTACGTGATTTGCATAGCTACATTCAGTTTGGTATTTTTAGACATGTGCGGTTGTGAGCAACGTTGTCCTGAGGCCAGTCTAATTTCCGCGCCAGTTCAGTAGTAGACCGTTTCTAATGTACCCTAGCCTACAGTTTCTGTTTAAGGAAGTAGGTACCTATAGGTAGCCGATATGACTTTTCATCAAACTACATGAATACAGGTGATGTTCTTTTCAATTACACGTTGTCTGTTCTGTTCACGAGGGGTTAAGTAGAGTCAAATGATAGCCCGCTATTGTTTACACAACGATGGGCTGGCTACTTTGTATCCAGGGGTTTAAGCAGATGGTCTAATTGTCTTTTCCAGGCATAAGCGGTCGCTAAGGACCCCAGCAGCTACTGGTCCCATTTTTTTTCCGGAACTCAGTGCGTAATTCTTTTTGTAAGAATAGTTGAATACAACAGGTGCCATTTCGAAATGCAGCAGCAGTTTTTCTCGTGTTATGTCAGGCAAATATTTTTTTTTATTGGTAGTTAGTCTACTCAGCTATTGAAACTTGTAGTAATCATGACTGAATACCGACCGGGCACACAGGGCACGTGCCCAGGGGCCATGACCTCCAGGGGGCTTCCATTGATTTTGTTATTAATTCTCACTCAGATATCATATTAACAAGGCTAGAGCCTGCCCTGCTACTACTACAGAATTCAGCTACATAAGATTGGTAGTAGAAAAAACATAAAGCCTAAATGCATTCACTATTCTCTGTAGGCTAACCCAGAATTAAACCTGTGGGCTTCATTTTCTAGGAAATTGGGAACCTTTTGAGGAAGGAAAGGCCTTTACTACATGGCCATTCCCTTTCCCTGCGAATGCCACAGCATATGTGGTTGATAGGTTACACAGCAGCCTCCTTCATAGACTAGCTGGCAGACAGCCCAATCTGTCTCCCTGCCGTCGAGCCCAAAGGGCGCATTGGAGACCCCAGAGAAACGAGCCTCTCCCGCTCAAATCAGTTGGTTCGGATTTCCAATTACAGCCAATACCATATAGAGCTAACAAGGAAGCTCCCTCCTCATCCTCCTCCTCACCTCCCTCATTTGCAAGACATCTCCCACTGGTTTGCACTGAGCAAAATAAATAGTCCCATTTATCTGGTCCCTGGGGAGCCATCGACCTTGCTTGCTGTGATTGAGGAGGTATTGGTGGGCTGGGTTATTGTTATAAAGGACCGGTCACAGTATGTGGAAACCGTTAACCACGAGTCCCTGCCACACATTTACTTCTTATCTATCTGCATCCCAATGAGAATAGGACATACCTACCCACTCTCACTCACCCTTCATCTCTGCAGGAGACTGAACACTTTACAGGCTGACTGGCTGTCCGTCATGAAGAAGCGAGGCGTTGGAGCCGGATGAGCCTCTATGCTGCTGTGAGTTTGTGGACCGTCAGGGGGGGCGGAGCCATGTGACAGCCTGCTACTGTGACTGTGAGGACCTGGGTGATGCCTGTGACAGGTGAGGGAGTGGCTTACTCATCTATAGTCAGTTACCTTCACACTCTTAGCTAAAGATTCTTCATCCAGTTTGGCATCACATCAGAAAGTAAATGTCTGCTTCTCTCCCTCAGATGGCTGAAGAAAGAGCCCCAGAAGGCAGACTCACTGTCCCGTCTGGTTACCATGGTGACCGACCACCTCCGTGTTCCCTGGTTCTGGGGCGGAGCCCGGCGTGTCCATCTATCGGTGCTGCCCCCGCTGCTCCTACTTCCTGTCCTCCTACACATCACAGCCCTTCACTTCCTGTTGGGCATGGTGGTTCTGAGCGCTCTACTGGTCCTCGTTCTATGGTACTAATACGCCACCCACCGTAAGAAGGGCCGGACCCTGTTCTTCCTCAGCCTGGCCCTGTTCTTCCTGGGCTACATGTAGTACCTCTTCCTCACCGAGGTCTTCTCCAGGGGGGGTGTACGGCCGCACACGTACGGCCGCACACGGCCGACGTCCACAGCACGGTGACCTATCACAGCTCACCTCCGGACAGAGATCCCGCCCACACCGGCCTCAACGGGGTCGGGCAGGAAGTGTTGTTCGCCGATCGGGGGAGTGGGTCGGAGCAGCAGGACCAGGGGGTGGAGCAGAGGGAGAGTGGGCGGAGCAGGAACTGGTGCTCTGTGTGCAGGGTGGTGCGGCCACCCAGGGCGGGACACTGCAGGATCTGTGCCATCTGTGTCCTGAGGCTGGACCACCACTGTGTCTGGTGGGACCCCTTAAAACACCTCAGTCTCTGGAAAGGAGGCTCTTCTCTGTAATTTAGGATACATGCCATGTCTAAGCAGTGTCATGCCAGGCCTAAGAAGCAATGTTTAAGCAATTATCAGTGACATTATCTTGTCTCTGTGTCATCAGCCATAGGCTTGTGTGTCTGAGTCACACTGATCTGTAACGCAAACAATTGTGCAAAAAAACTAACATTTTCAAACACTTGTTCAGACGTGTGTGTTGTGTTTGGAGTAATCAAGGGTTCTAAGTACATCTTACATTGTAGTCATTAAGCAGCAGATGCTTTCATCCAAATTACAAATCCGAGCTGTACTGTGTGTGTGTGTAGTGTAACTCCATGGTCTCAGTACAGTGTATTGTCTGTCTGTGTGTGTCGTGTCCGTCATGTCGCCACTGTGGCAGGATAAACAGCTGTGTGGGCCAGGCCAATCACTGCAGCTTCCTGTTGATCTCGGTGTATGGGGACTGCGCAGTGTGTGTCCCCAACAGGACCTGCTCAACTGCCCAGGCGTCTACAATCAGTACAGGTAACACAGATGCACAGTACACACATAGACACCTACCCCATTCATAGACACTGAGTACTTTAGCACCTACTGACGATAGTATTTTCTGACCGGGGGAGTTTTGTTAGAAGCCCCAACGGTTGCTCTAAACATTAAGACTCATCGCTTGCAGTACTGTTTTGGAAACATATCAGCGAGAAATCATTTTCAAAAAACAAAAGGTAAATTACTTCACACCTTTTATAGGGTTCGGGTTAGTGTTCCCACACAGCCATATCTCCATGTTACAGCGCTTGTTTACAGAGGACAGACGGAAGACATAGCTGCCACCTGTGCCAATCAGCTATCTAGCGTGCTCCGAACACCTGTGTGTAAGCTAACTGGGGAGGAAGTGTAGTTCGTCAACTGGAGGCACGCACAGTGTATGGATCTGTGCAAAACTGCTACAGTAATTGTATATTTTTCTTATTTGAAAGATTCTTTCTCGCTGACATGAAAGATAAGGGGCATATCAGCATATGTTTCTAAAACTTTTTAGAAAGCAATGATTGTTGACGTTTCTAAACGTTAAAACACAGCGTCGGAATTGTAGTTTAAACGGAGCCAAATGTGGGCGAATGTAATGGCTGACAACCCTACATACGGAGAAGGGTTTTCGAGCGCCAACACACACCATGCAGTATATAATGCACACACACATGATTAGCTCACGCACATACACTATTAGGCATTAGAGGCTAAAATGAGCCTGTGAAATGAGGCGGTGTAGATCAATAGTGTCCTAAAATACCCACTGGCACACAGCCAAATAGCTTCCTGGTCATGCTATAAGGGAACAAGTGGTTTTTAATTGCATCAAAGCAGTCTTTTTTAATTTAATTTTAATTTTTTTATAAATCTGGGATGTTTAAAGCTGTGATGTTTTGAAATAACCAGGTATTTATAAGGGTAATGTAGGTTAATTTAATTTTATATAAGAGACTTCATCATATCTCCTCCAACCAGGCCTACTCCTTTATAAACTACTGACCCAGATTTAGAGTATGTGGCCCTGCCGGATTTATTGTGTAAGAGTGAATGTGTGTGTTTGCTGATAATATGCATTTTGATGTGTGTGTAGGGTTGTTCCATGTCATTTCAACAAGCCATGACACCCACCATCTCAGATTGTCCTGAAATCGTTTTTGTAGTTAGAAACATAAGATTAGCATTCCTGCAACATTATTTTGTTGAAATATAATTTGATCTCTGAGAAATTAAGCTAATTGATTGCACCCAAATTGGCAATTCTAATTTATAGGACTCATATTATTCAATGAAAATATTACCTAACATCCAATTTGGACCAAACCTTTTTTTTAAACATGAGTAAGACATGAGGAATCCAAAGATATTGTCAAAAGCCACCCACGGACCCCCCCCCCCCATGCCAATTATTAATAATAATTAATAATTAATAATAATAAGTCATTTAGCAGACGCTCTTATCCAGAGCGACTTACAGGAGCAATTATGGTTAAGTGCCTTGCTCAAGGGCACATCGACAGATTTTTCACCTAGTCGGCTCAGGGATTAGAACCAGCGACCTTTCGGTTATTGGCACAACGCTCTTAACCACTAAGCTACCTGCCGCCCAATCCACCCCAACAAGGAAAAAATGATCAGTTCTCTATATCTGACAAGTAGTATGGAGCTGCGGCTCGGAGTATTGTTTCTTCATCCTATGTAATGTATTCTCAGTGAATTTAGTGATGTTTTGTCCCCACTGACCAACTCCATATTAATGCCCATGATTTTGGAATGAGATTTTTGACGAGCAGGGGTCCACATACTTTTGGTAATGTAGTGTATATTAGCATTTTCGCACTTCATATCCAAATCATCTTTAAGTAACATGGAGTTACACAATCAATTTTTAGATACTTTAGGATGATTTGTACATGAAGTGTGAAAATGCTAATATAGGTACCATTGACTTGTGGATTTGTACCACACACTGTTCCTTGTCCATAAACTGTTTAACCAAGATGTCATTATTTTTTTGGGGGGGGGGGGGGGGGTAGTTCTGACCACCATGTAGTGGTCAGAACCTGGTAATATCAGGATGTAGGATGGGACATAAACCTAACAACTTCAATAACTAATTTCTCTGAACGGGGAAAAAAACATCACTAAATTCACTGAGAATACATTACATACAGTGAGGGAAAAAAGTATTTGATCCCCTGCTGATTTTGTACTTTTGCCCACTGACAAAGAAATGATCAGTCTATAATTTTAATGGTAGGTTTATTTGAACAGTGAGAGACAGAATAACAACAAAAAAATCCAGAAAAACCAAAAATGTTAAATTGGTCTACAATCTTGTCCCTGACATCCTTTGAGAGCTCTTTGGTCTTGGCCATGGTGGAGAGTTTGGAATCTGATTGATTGATTGCTTCTGTGGACAGGTGTCTTTTATACAGGTAACAAGCTGAGATTAGGAGCACTCCCTTTAAGAGTGTGCTCCTAATCTCAGCTCGTTACCTGTATGAAATACACCTGGGAGCCAGAAATCTTTCTGATTGAGAGGGGGTCAAATACTTATTTCCCTCATTAAAATGCAAATCAATTTATAACATTTTTTGACATGCGTTTTTCTGGATTTTTTTGTTGTTATTCTGTCTCTCACTGTTCAGCAAAATCAGCAGGGGATCAAATACTTTTTTCCCTCACTGTAGGATGAAGAAACAATACTCCGATCCGCAGCTCCATATTACTTGTCAGACATAAATAACTGATACTGTATACTCATTGTTGGGGAGGGGTGTGGGGGGTCCGTGGATGGCTTTTGGGCATTTCTTTGGATTCCTCATGTCTTACTCATTGTTAGAAAATGTTTTGGTCCAAATCGGATGTTACTGTAGGTACTATATTTATTGAATATTATATGAATCATATACATTCAAATGGCCAATTTGGGTGCAATCAATTAGCTTAATTTCTCAAGATCAAATTATATTTCAACAAAATAATGTTGCAGGAATGATAATCTTATCTGTTTCTAACAAACAAAACATTTTCAGAACAATCTGAGATGGTGGGTGTCAATATCCTTTCTTGTGCTTTTTGAGGTGGAACGACCCTGTAGTGTAACTGTATAATATTGTCCACTATTCAGCACTGTAACGAATGGTCTCTTGCTCAGCTTTGTGTGTGTGTGTGGATGTTCAGCCTTCCCTATCCCATTGGCGTTTGCAGATCTGTAGTAACGAGATTGGTGTTATCAATAGGGTGTAAGCTCCCCTTAGCCCATTGTTAACACATCTGTTTCCCAAAAATAAGGGGTGTGGGCTAGTGACTAGGGATTGTTATCAGGAATATACAAGTAATATCCTTCTATTGGTGTCTAAATGGGGCACAATCACACCTTCCCCCTTTCCACTATGTTAGTGTTCTCATGCAAAATGGCTGCCATGCAACACCCATGTCAGTGCTACACATTGGTGGTGGATGGGGTGCATTGCTGCACTATAGTTTACAATTAATTTAAGATCTAATGAATACCGTTCATGTAGTTTTCACTTCAATTATAATTCACTGTTTGCGTATTTGCCCACACCCATAAGCTGTCTTCCAAATGATATTATGAAAGGACAGTGTAAATGTTTCTCCAGTCGTCAGGTGGCTGAGCTGAAGGAGAGCTACCAGGAGAAGGACCATGCCTACCATGCCTACCAGCGGGCGCTGGAGCGTGATTACGTACCCCTTGATGAGTTCATCGCTGAGCAGGAGAAAGTAGAGGTACTAGACACTGACTTTAGGTGACTAACAAGGTCCTGCTACAACCACCTGCTCAAATGGTCAGATATGAATTCTGTCAATTTAGACCAATGTGTTCTGTTTCGGATAATTTAGGGCCAAATCTTCCAAGTGTTTGCACCCGTTTTATAATACGTTTTCCATGGTTTATTTCCTCTGGGAAGTAAAAAACGAGTACCCCTGTAGCTCAGTTGGTAGAGCATGGCGCTTGCAACGCCAGGGTTGTGGGTTCGTTTCCCACGGGGGGCCAGTATGAAAATGTATGCACTCACTAACTGAGCGTCTGCTAAATGACTAAAATGTAATGTCAATGTAAAGTGTGTGTGTTCCAGATCAGCGCTGTGTTTCACCTGTGCGTGGTACAGCAGCATAGTGACAGGTGACCTGCTACACCTGCAGCTCATCAACGTCAGCTACAACGTAACAGAGCGAGAGGCACGCACCCCCCTCCGAGACAAGTCCGCCCGCAGCCACTACTGGGGCCTTGTCGTCGACACTGGAGTCTACACATGGTTTCCGTTGGCAACTGGGCGGAGTTTCTGACCATGGGAGAAGGCCTGCACACACCCTCGCCCAGCCTCACTGTCTTGGTGTAGCTGAGCTGCTCAACATCGTCATTGCATCGTTAGAAGTGATTGATCAATTGGACGATCCAGGTAGAAGTTGCCCACAGAAACAGATCTATTTTACCCTCATACCACAGGAGGCTGCTGAGGAGAGGACGGCTCATAATAATGGCTGTAATGGAGCGAATGGCATGAAACGTGGAAACTATGTGTTTGATACCATTCCACTAATTCTGCTCCAGCCATTACCACGAGCCCGTCCTCCCCAATTAAGGTGCCACCAACCTCCTGTGCCTCAAAGAATCCTGACTTGAACTGTTAGGGGGAAGAACACAAAACTGACCTTGGATCAGTGTCTAGGGGTAACTTCACCCTCAGTGATATGGGCAGGAGTTGAATGATGCAGCTGCTGTACTGTCTTTCACCAACAGATAGCAGCATATCTCCACACCTCAGACTCTTCTGACCGCTATCTCCATCTCTCCCCAGTTGTTCCAATTATTTATATATATATGCCATTTTAGCAGATATATATATATATATATACACTATCTGCATATATACACTAGATGACTGACAGGAGGCGTTGTTTTGAAGCCACTGCACCTCCATCTTGGCACTCCCCCACCATTGTGACAAATATTTTGGAATCTATAGAAATGCATTTACCAAATGTCTACATTAGTTTTTGCAAAGTTTATTCTGTTACAGACACCTTTAATGCATACTTTTAAATTACACTGAACAAAGATATGAAGGCAACATGTAAAGTGTTAGTCCCATGTTTCATGAGCTGAAAATAAAAATCCCCAAAATGTTCCATGCGCACAAAAAGCTTATTTCTCTCAAATTTTGTGCACAAATTTGTTTACATCCATATTAGTGAGCATTTCTCCTTCGCCAATATAATCCATCCACCTGACAGGTGTGGCATATCAAGAAGCTGATTAAACAGCATGATCATTACACAGGTGCACCTTGTGCTGGGGACAATAAAAGGCCACTTTAAAATGTGCTGGCTGCCAAGTGAGTGGGCCCATGGCTTCACTCCTGCCCAGTCAATTGAAATCCATAGATTAGGGCCTAATACATTTATTTCAATTGACTGACTTCCTTACATGTTGCATTTATATTTTAGTTCAGTATATTTTGTGAGCTAAACATAAAAATTTTAAATAAATCCTTAAAGGATAATTTCTTGAAAGTATTAATGATACTGTGACCAAGTACCAAAAAAAATCCTAAATACACTTAATTTTGGCCATGAAACATTTAAATGAAATAATGTAGAATTCCATTCATTTCTATGGAGGACTACTGCTACTGGGGAGTGCCAATATGGCTGACCGGTTGCTTCAAAGTCTCTCATTGGCGAATAAATGGCATCAGCAATCCAGGGTTTATACTGTGTAAATCATTGCTTTCGCCACAGTCCGTGCCATGGTGAAACTTACACCTGTAGATCTGAAATAATTGAATGGTGAAACTTGCTAACCAACCAGAAAAACAAGGTGAAGCAATTCAGGCATTCTTGAAAGTCAGGAAAATCCTTGTCCTGCAAAGAAACATTATTTTTATAGATGGAAAAATAGATTTTGCAAGCAGTAGGCAGTTATAATTAAATGTGGAGTGGAGCTTTATAATTGATGACATCACGTGCACTGCGTAGGACCTTAAATCATAATGTATTTGAAAAACACAATTTCCATAATTTGTCGCAATAAAGAAAGTTTGACAAAATAAAAATCTACCCCTGTCGAACAAATAAAAATGTTGTCGATCTTTAGAACATTTCTCCTATAATGTATCTGCCGTTTCCATTAGGCTACACCATTTTTGTGTGTCAGGATCATTAGTGTTGTTGCATTAAGTGAATAAAGTAACAAAGTACTGACAGGGAAAAACAACTCTGACACACAAACCACAGTGAGACTCGTTTATGGTGATATGAATAACAGAATACTTTTTATCATTATTATTGATGCCTTCAAGCTTCTGTCAAATTACATCAAGCTGTGACTTCAATAATACACAAAATAAAACAAATTCAATAACCTGAACATCAACTGCAGTTTTAAATGAGTCATTGCTGTTACAAAAGTTTTCCAAACTGTCTTCATTAAAAGTTATATCCAGCTTTCTCTGGTTATTAAGGATAACAAACAGCCTGTGTGTGTGTGCTTGTTCCAGCAGCAACTTAAGCCACATTTTCTGTATATCCTGTATATCCTGTATCGAAGTATTCCGTCTGTCTGCCTGTGTGTGTGTGTGTGTACCGTACGTGTGTGTGTCCTGTGAGTCACAGCAGGGCTTGTTCCCAGGGACAGTTCAGAGGAGAGGAGCGGAAGTCAGGTAGGACCTCTTCCACTGTGCGTTTCAGCTGCTCCCTCCTGGTCTCCCTCTCCTCACGCAGCCATCCTAGATACCGTCTCCAGGCCTGGAAACAGCTCCGCACCGCCCGCCTGGGACAGGGACGGAGAGGAGAGAAACCAAGAGGAACAGACACACACGACAGAGAGAGAACAGAAGGAAGCAGACAGAACAACTTAGAAAGCCCTTACAAGCGGTTATACAGTAACAAAGTGAGGTTGTACATACAGAGCATGTCTACATCTTATACAGCAGGTGTAAGGCTTTGACAGGTGTAAGGCTTTGACAGGTGTAAGGCTTGACGGGTGTAATGCTTTGACAGGTGTAAGTGTACAAAAGGCTGTGAAGTATTTGTAGTTATATCAGTAATGTTAGTTCATCATATCAGAGCTGTAGCTCCGCCTACCGGTGAAGTGGAGCAGAGCATGCTGGGTGATCTCCAGCTCAGAGAAGAAGATCCGCTCGAGAGAAGTCAAGAGAAAGCTCCAGCCATCCATGTGTTTTCCCACCAGTTAGCTTTCATTGTGTAAGCCAAGGCCAGTGTGCTTACTTGTTGATATGTAAGTACATACATCATATCTTTCAGGTGTTTATGTCAGAAGATGCACTCTGCGACGATAATGTAATATTTATGGTTATGCTAATTAGTAGTTTCTACTGCGAGCTAGCTATTGTGGGCTGGCTAGCTCTGTTTTGGTTGTCATATCATTTCGGACATTTAACCCTGTATTTGTAAAGGATAATGTCCCCCAGTGCGTCGGTTAACACCCTGTAATTGTATACGTGTATGGTACATCATAATATGGTTATTACATTGTATTTCACTGTTTAGAGGTATTGAAGTTCATTGTGCAGTTGTAGCCCTGTACTGAAGATTGTGTTATGCTTTGTAGTACACGTGCAGCGGCACCCCTTTGATCACAAATGAGTGCAGTCACAGTCACGTTGTATTGCACTGTATGGTCCTGTATAGCATTAAGTCATCATAGTCATGTTATAGCCATACATATTGTTTATAAGAGCTGTGAATTGGAGATTGTATTCTGTCATTCACTAGTGTATCTTTATTTCTGTCTTTACTTGCAGACCACACACACACACTTTGGTTGAAGCAAGTTGCCAGACCACTAAGTGCCTTAGCCCATCCATACTACATACACTGTGTGGTGCTGTTCCGTGCCTGTGCATCTTCAGCGTCATTAAACCACCTCAACTGGAATCCTACCTGTCTGTCATCTGTGCCCTTACCAGCACACGGGAGAGAACACCTAACCTAAAGAATATACAGTCCACCAAGTCCTCACTTACAGTAAGGCTTTGACAGGTGTAAGGCTTTGACAGGTGTAAGGCTTTGACAGGTGTAAGGCTTTGACAGGTGTAAGGCTTCTAGGACAGGTGTTATTGGTAAAGGCAGTAAGGCCCAGGTAAACACACCCACCTGTCACTGTGTTCCTGAGCCTGCTGCTCCCGGTCCCACTCCACCATCCTCTTCTGGGTCATGTGCGTGCGCCATAACCGGTTGGCCCGCCCCTCCAGAACCATGCGGTGGTCCTTCAGCTGAGACAGAACGGGTCAAACAGAATGGGTCAGGGCTGGATACAGTACACATCATGGACATACTGTACATCTCATTGAGCAGAATATACAAAAGACTATCCACCTCATCACTATTAAACTGTAATCAGTATTCAAATGTGTTTATGTGTGTTGGAAAAAAGACAGTGACCATTTGTATGAGTTTCTACTTGTGCATGTGAGAGTTTGTTTGTGTGTGTTTGTGTTTGTGTGTGTATTTATGAATGTGTTTGTGTGTGTACGTGTTCATGCCCTAACTCTTTTCCAGTTGCCCAGGCTCCTCCGTAGCAGGATGTGTTGATGCAGTTGTTTGGCAGAGGCCCGTTTCTGAGCCAGGGACTCGCCTGCTACCTGCTGCCAGGACAGGATGCACCGTTTCAGGAGAGACTGCCTGTGATGAGCCCTGGCCAGCTGGAGGGAAATGAAAATAATACTGCGTATATGTCCAATATACCACGTCTAAGGGCTGTTCTTATGCACGACGCAATGCAGAGTGCTAGAACACAGCCCTTAGCTGTGGTATATTGGACATACAGTGGGGGAAAAAAGTATTTAGTCAGACACCAATTGTGCAAGTTCTCCCACTTAAAAAGATGAGAGAGGCTTGTAATTTTCATCATAGGTACACGTCAACTATGACAGACAAATTGAGAATGTTTTTCTCCAGAAAATCACATTGTAGGATTTTTAATGAATTTATTTGCAAATTATGGTGGAAAATAAGTATTTGGTCACCTACAAACAAGCAAGATTTCTGGCTCTCACAGACCTGTAACTTCTTCTTTAAGAGGCTCCTCTGTCCTTCACTCGTTACCTGTATTAATGGCACCTGTTTGAACTTGTTATCAGTATAAAAGACACCTGTCCACAACCTCAAACAGTCACACTCCAAACTCCACTATGGCCAAGACCAAAGAGCTGTCAAAGGACAACAGAAACAAAATTGTAGACCTGCACCAGGCTGGGAAGACTGAATCTGCAATAGGTAAGCAGCTTGGTTTGAAGAAATCAACTGTGGGAGCAATTATTAGGAAATGGAAGACATACAAGACCACTGATAATCTCCCTCGATCTGGGGCTCCACGCAAGATCTCACCCCGTGGGGTCAAAATGATCACAAAAACGGTGAGCAAAAATCCCAGAACCACACGGGGGGACCTAGTAAATGACCTGCAGAGAGCTGGGACCAGTAACACACTACGCCGCCAGGGACTCAAATCCTGCAGTGCCAGACGTGTCCCCCTGCTTAAGCCAGTACATGTCCAGGCCCGTCTGAAGTTTGCTAGAGTGCATTTGGATGATCCAGAGGAGGATTGGGAGAATGTCATATGGTCAGATGAAACCAAAATATAACTTTTTGGTAAAAACTCAACTCGTTGTGTTTGGAGGACAAAGAATGCTGAGTTGCATCCAAAGAACACCATACCTACTGTGAAGCATGGGGGTGGAAACATCATGCTTTGGGGCTGTTTTTCTGCAAAGGGACCAGGACGACTGATCCGTGTAAAGGAAAGAATGAATGGGGCCATGTATCGTGAGATTTTGAGTGAAAACCTCCTTCCATCAGCAAGGGCATTGAAGATGAAACGTGGCTGGGTCTTTCAGCATGACAATGATCCCAAACACACCGCCCGGGCAACGAAGGAGTGGCTTCGGAAGAAGCATTTCAAGGTCCTGGAGTGGCCTAGCCAGTCTCCAGATCTCAACCCCATAGAAAATCTTTGGAGGGAGTTGAAAGTCCGTGTTGCCCAGCGACAGCCCCAAAACATCACTGCTCTAGAGGAGATCTGCATGGAGGAATGGGCCAAAATACCAGCAACAGTGTGTGAAAACCTTGTGAAGACTTACAGAAAACGTTTGACCTGTGTCATTGCTAATAAAGGGTATATAACAAAGTATTGAGAAACTTTTGTTATTGACCAAATACTTATTTTCCACCATAATTTGCAAATAAATTCATAAAAAATCCTACAATGTGATTTTCAGGATTTCTTTCCCCTCATTTTGTCTGTCATAGTTGACGTGTACCTATGATGAAATTTACAGGCCTCTCTCATCTTTTTAAGTGGGAGAACTTGCACAATTGGTGGCTGACTAAATACTTTTTTTCCCCACTGTATATCACAAACCCCTGAGGTGCCTTATTGCTATTATAAACTGTTTACCAACGTAATTTGTTTTGTCATACCCGTGGTATACCGTCTGATATACCACGGCTTTCAGCCAAATCAGCATTCAGGGCTCGAACAACCCAGTTTATAATATACATTTGACTCTAGATGCTATAATGCATTCTTTTCTACCTTAATTTCAATGTCATGGTCTTTAAAGAAGTTAGGACTTTGACCACTGGTAAATAAAGAGAATAGAGTTGTTTGGAGTCAAGGTAAACCAATAGCAGAATAGAACATGAGATATTGAACGAGCTGTTCAGCTGCTCAAGGTTGCATACAGTAGATTAGAATATGTTGCTGAGATGTTACACCATCCATCCATCTTCACTTCTACTTCACTTCCCTGTCCATCATTAATCAGACCAATCATTCCTCTCCTCCAAACCCTCTCATCTCACGCTCTCTCTTCCTGTAGCCCTCTCCTCTAGCCTCTCACTTCCTCTCTCCTCCTCTAGCCTCTCTCTCTCTAGCATCGTTCCATCTCTGCCAGTTCAATTTGTCCTGCTGGTTCTCACAGACAGGTGGTCAAGCAGGTGCTCATACCAACAGCATACTGTAAACATCATTACAGCTCTGACCGTGATGTCTGGGATTAGAGTGTGTGTCTGTGTTTGTGTGTGCTCGGTTTACGCTTTAGTTACAGAGTGTGTGTATCATATTTCCATTGGGAATTATGAGGGTGTTGGTTGGTATCTGAATAAGCATGACACCTTGTTTGAGGGAAAGAGTATTTTCCTTCTGTCTTTGTATTTGAGTGCAGCTGTGAATACATAAGTGTGTGTTTCTGCTGTGTTTGATTGGCTGTCCTGAGCTGTGTGACTAGGGGAGAGTGTGCGTTGACAGTCTCTCTGCGCAGACTCTGCATGGGGCCAATTGATTGGCCGAGGCTGACGGCGCCGGTGATTACCTGAGTGTTGGCTTGGCTCATGGCAACTATGCGTTTCCATGGCGCCAGGCCTCGCCGTAGTAACAGAGTTCTGTGGTAGTGTTGCTGGGCCTGGGTCTGAAGCTGCTGCTCTCGCTCCAACCTCCTCTGGTTCTCCTCCCTCTGAATACACACACACAGTTATAGTCAGACACACAAACACACACACCGTTAGTCAGACACACACACCCACCCCGTCTAAATTAGATCTGGCCACCATGCCTTGACAGTGAGACGTAAGGCGAACATTATCACCCACGGCATTGAACAACCATTGCATCATTGCTTTGAACAGCTGCCATCAAAACACCAGAGAGTCTATTTTGTGAAATTCCAACTGCATTAAACCTTCTGGACAGGAAATAATGGACAATTTGTGTATACGGTATGTATATTACATATTATATTATTATGTTTTGTATTGTATAGGTGTTGATGACATCTATTTTTCTGTACGGCCCCTGTGATGGAAATCTGGGTCCGTAGGTATCCAGCGTCACAGAGTAGGAGGGGTGATCTAGAATCAGCTTCCTCCTGTCCATGTAATCATATTAATTGAACCCAAGTCAGCACTCCTACTCTAAAATGCTTGATACATATGGCCCCTGAAGTCCTAAATATACACTCTTAGTGAACTGGCAGATTTTCTTTCAAATATGAAATGAAGGTTGTCCCCAGTACAGTTTCACTGTAAACATTGCATCACCTCTCTCGTCTCTTCTCCCTTCTCCTTTCAGCTGCTCTATGTTTCTCTTCCTCCTCCTCCCACTGCCTCTCCTCCTCTGCTGCTTTCAACTGGGCCTGAGAAGAGAAGAAAGTTTCTTGATTTAATGCTTTCTAGCACACTATCACACTTCCCCAGACTCACTTCATTCGACTGCACACACTCTCCTATAAACCCAATATACCTCTGCAAACACACTTTCATTGTCCCCAATAACTTCATGCAAACTTGAATAGCCTCTCTAATTCCCACCGTCTGAAAACCTATACATATTTTTGAACACCAAACTATTACACATCCCCCACTGGCCTAAACACTCCATTCCTCACCAGTCTCTCCCCCTCCTTCTTTTTCTTCAGCTCCTCCACCTCCCTCCCTCCTGCACTCCGCTCGCTGACGAGCACGTTCCTCCATGGCGGTTGAAGGGGGAGAGGGAGAGAGAAAGAGAAAGGGAAATAAAAAGAAATAAAAACAGGGGTAAAGGCTAGGTACATACATTTTGGTGTTGTTCTGTGCCAAAATAGAATGTTCAAAAGTATTGTGTGTGTGCGTTTGTCAGTATGTGTCTGTGTGTGTGTGTGTGTGTATCCGCAGGCTCCCTCCACCTTTCTCAAATCCCCTCTTCCTATTCCTCCCACGTAGAGGAAACTTCAGCCAAACAGAGTGTAACTGAGAGAAACTGTATTCCTCCATGTAAGCTACTGTAGCTATGGCTCTATACAGCTATGGCTCTATAGGGGAGAGTGGGGTAAGTTGAGCCATTTTTTACATTCAGCATCACTCTGTCAAGGGAAATATAGTATTCTTTCTAACAAAGACATCTACATATATTTCAGGATGTTGTGTATCCCTGGAAATAATTAGAATTCATGTCAACATTACAGTTTTGAAAACATAGCTTGTCCAAAAAAAGTGCTCTCTTGACTAGGGCTGTGGCGGTCACAAAATGTTGTCAGCCGGTGATTGTCAAGCAAATAACTGTCGGTCCCATGGTAATTGACCGTCAATTAACATAAACACATTTAGCATCTCCTGGCTTCCACACATAGCCTACAAGCCACTGATACAGACCTTTGGAACATCTACATTTAAAAAAGTCTAATAAATCCATGTAATATAGCCTACACCTTCACAATAAATCCATTATTTATTTTAGACAGGTATACAGAATAGCATACTGTGAGTTGTCCTTATGTTAGGTCCTGATCTGGCTATGCCAAATGGCTGTGGGCTACACTAGTTCATTTAGCAGACAAGATTTGCTTAGAATTCCATGGCATTATTTTATATTACTTTATAGTATGAAGAATACAACTGAACAAAGCTGAATAAAATAGAAAGGATATTTTCTCCAAACGATTTGAGGGAGTGCGCACATGCGGCTATTCTGTGTTGAGCGGTTAACAAAGAAATAGGTATTCCTATATGCTTAATTTAGAGTTATCAATGTAACTTTAGTTGTTCTACAAACGTTGGGCTATATGTTTTGATTTTTAATACATTGTAAGGCTGCATGATGTGACTCTAATGATGATTTGAAAAAAGTTGCTTGAAAGGCATCAGCTCTTCTATGTTTTTTTGCGCAGGTTGTACACACTTCACGTCTCTCATTCACAATTTGACAAGCACTTGATAATGCCTCGGATTTCATGGCGGCATCCCCTTTATGTGCCTGTAATGCACCCAAAAAAAATCCATGCCTTTTGCGGCCAGTGGCTGTTGTGCCCTTGGCCCGGAGTGCTGCGTTGTGCCCTTCGCCCCAAGTGTTGCGCGTTCCGAAGCACCTCTCACTCACATGGCTCTCCATCCTGTGATCTGGTCTTTCTCACAGGCTACAAGTGAAGACAGACACATTGGGCACGCAACTGCGCGCGTCCTTATCCAACTCCGAGGTGCATATTGAAGATATCGGAAGAACTGTCCACAATTACTTTTCGTCAGCCAACAAAATGAGTAGGCCTAACGAACAGTAAATGCACTAACTCTCCTCTACATCCTATATGGCTCAACTTACCCTACTCTCCCCTACATCCAACTCAGAAATTAAATTAATTTTCTCCTCTTTTCTTCATACTTCATGACAAGATAGTCCGACCATTGTAAGATCAACCATCTGGAATGGATGTCTATGTGTGGTTTAGCTCACATGGAGGTGAATGTGCTGACTGACCCATGACGGTGGGATGACGACAGGGCTGACGGACGGCTGGTTTCCTCGAGGCCAAGGAGCGGCCATCGTTCCCGCCAGAGACACTCCCAGCCCTGGAACACAGAACATCACCCAGAAACACACATCATTAAATATTCACTCTCTAATATAGATCTACTCTATTCCCAACTTCCCAGACTGACCCAACTAGCCCCGCACACAGGGGACATTCTAAGGACTTGTTTTTGTTTAAAGGGAAGGGTACAAGAAGAGGATATCCCAGTAGTGATCAATAAATCAACTTTTAATGAGTGAATCATTCAGCAGACACATTGTCACACCTGGAATAATATGCAGGGAAATACAGTATGCTGGGAGCAGAACACTTTTATTATCATAGTACATTTTAAATTAGCCTGGGTTTTATTCTCAAGCGGAAGTGGTGTATTGCTTTAATTAAACTCATGCTCTATGTATCCTCCACTGATGACTCCTCAAACTTAATTAAGGTGACTATTTTCTAGTAAAAACACTCCTACTTTTTGAGTGTTCTGTAGTATAATATAACCACAACTACCCAAACCCGAGCTTTCACCAGGATAATGGCTTGTCTTCAGACCTGAGCGCTATTTGAAAGCCTCTTACAGCCTCCAAAATGAGAAAATGCTTAGCTGCCTGCTTCAAGTCATGGATGAGTGTCCACAAGTCATGAGCTTTCGTACCAACTTGTGTTCACTGCATACTAAATGTTGAACTACCAATGAAAGTGAGTGCTGATCCCCTTGGGTCCTATGCAGACCTCTGTAACTGAAATCAACCACAATCACGTTATTCTGTCCAAGCGGAAAAGCGCAATTTCTATGCAGTCCCACATGGTATCGATTGGCTTGGGTCTTGAGGTTTGAGTAGACTCCAGAGGACCCTGCGTGAACAAACAGACACACCACACCCCCACACAGGCAGCCTGTGGGCCTCACCTAAGTTCCCATGGTAATGTGAACAGGGGCCTACCTGGGTTCTTTGGGGACAGAGGTCATCCCTCTGGGACCTGGGGCTGCTGGGACAGCAAGCTGAGCGATCTGGGCCTCCTGCTTCAATCCGATCATGCTTTTTCCCTCCTGCAGGCGTGCTATCTGCTCCTGCTGTTCCCGGAGGAGCCTCCTTCGCTCTGCGATGGTCTGCTGCTGGCTGGCATGGTGTCGTATCGCGTAAGTGCTGGCAATTATTGCTGATAAACAAAGGAGTCCGCTCATACTGAACTTGGATCATAAGGTTTATTCTTATCACAAGCTTCAGCATAAGTGACAGATGTCATGACATCCGGAGAGCGACGGCCCGGATTGCAATGGTCGCTCTGCCCTTTCTTTGTCTAGCCCCTACTTATAAACAATGCAAAAAGATGGGTGCTCCCTCTTCTGGCCAATCACCAGTCTCCCCTGGGGCGTCACCCCACAAACGCCACATTTGACCTAACATAAACAACATTCCATTTCTTCATGAAAAACATTTAACAAAGGCATAATCCTAATACACGACAATGGCTCGAACAGCCCTCCAGCAACTCTGCACTACGAGAACGGGGGCAGCACCTACACCGCCGTCCCCACCTCCCTCGCCCACCTCACCCCTCTGCCGTGCTCGCCTCAGCTCACCTATTGACTAGAACAGAACTTTATCATCCATTGTGAAATGTTGCACTTAATTTTTTTAAATAATTGGTAGAAGTAAAGGGTTTCCCCTAATCACTGATATATTTCAACATCTAGGTAGGAGTTTCCCCTAATCACCGATATATATTTCAACTACCTTGGTTGGAACAATGGAACGCAACTAAAAAAAATGGTGGTTCTGTTCAGAACAAAAGATTGGAAAATAATTTAGGTTCCAACCCCTGCTTGATAGAACTAGAGGGTAGACAGAAGTTGCCCTTAACTAATATATAGATTGGAGTTTCCCCTAATCACAGATACAGGGTCATATACAGTATTTCAACTTCTACTTTGATCACTCACCTGCACTCAGTGCTGCGTGACGCTGTGTCACCTGCCAGGCGAGGGTGGGCGGGACCACAGCCCCCAGCTGTCCGTCACCTTGACAGGCAGTAGAGGGGGTGGGGCCAACAGGTCGTGACCACACCTAACCTTTCTGCAGAGACAGTTGAGGGTCACATGAAAATAGGATGAAGCTGATCATCTCGCTAGAAGCTGCTGTGCCATTTCCACCTTTTCTAATTTACCTCTCTCCCTCAAACTCTATTCAACTACCTCTCTCTTTTTGTTAGCCCCTTCCTCGCTTTCGCTCTCTGAGGAGAAAGCTAACCTTGTAGTGTTGTGAATATCTCATCATGCAGGGAACGTTTCTCTCCCCGGACGATAAACTCACAGTGAGAAAAGTACGGGCAAACTCATGCGATGAGAGGAACTCTGAAACAGAACTTGTTTATTCAGTAAATACTGATAGACTAATATATGACTTTCACCAAATGAATACATAAGCACATTTATTGCCTTGCAGATTAATTTGACCCTTTGCAGAATTAGCTAATGTTTATTTCATGACTACACATCGTTACCACCTTCGGGGCTTCCGTCTCTAATGTGATTATTATTATTATTATTATTATATGCTCCAGCAAATGTATATCCAATGGGCAGACACAACACTGTGTGTGCAAGTATTTATCTGTCATTTGTTGTGTGACCTCCTATGCATCTATGCCTGTGCTCTTCAAGTGTCACTCACCAGTTCTGTGGTCTCTGATTGGTCAAAAGTCTCAGGCGGGGCTGTGATTGGCTCAGGAGCAGGCGTCTCCATCACCTTGAGTTTCCCAGTTGCCGCAGCATTGATCAGTGCGGCCATCTTGCACCGCGTCTCTTCCTGCTGTGCCAACAGCTCCCGCCGTCCTCTCGCCGCCCGGCACCACAACCGCCAATCACTCAGGCATCGCCTTAACATACGCCTCCGGTCACTCTCCATCGCCATCTGGCAGCGTCTACGAGGGATTACAATGATAAGCGCACTATTAGAGACAAACACCTGCTGTGACTGTGATGAGCTTGAGGGCCAGATTTGCTAATTGTCTTCACCAGGTGTTTGCAGGCACCTATTTATTTGGCACGTTTTCTCTGTGTTCATGAGTCAGATTCAGTATTAAAGTGTAGGTAGCATAAACGTAAACACAAGTAACATATTTGCATTAGAATACGCATCAAGGCCTCCCGAGTGGCGCAGCAGTTTAAGGAACTGCATCACAGTGCTAGAGGCGTCACTACAGACCCGGGTTCGATACTGGGCTGTATCACAACCGGCCGTGATCGGGAGTCCCATAGGGCGGCGCACAATTGGCCCAGCATTGCCCGGTTAGGGGAGGGTTTGGCCAAGGGGGCTTTACTTGGCTCATCGCACTCTAGCGACTCCTTGTGGCAGGCCGACGCCTGCAGGCTGACCTCAGTCGTCAGGTGAACAGTGTTTCCTCCGACACATTGGTGAGGCTGGCTTCTGGGTTAAGCGGGTGGGTGTAAAGAAGCGTGGTTTGGCTGGTCTTGTTTCGAGGGACGCATGACTCGACCTTCGCCTCCCGAGCCTGTTGGGGAATTGCAGCGATGAGACAAGATCGAAAAAGGGGGTAATAAAATAAATACAAATAACAATAACAATAAGAATACACATCAAAAGTCCCAATGCAAAGTTACACCTCACTTTTCTATTTATCAAGTTATTGCATGCTGGAAAAAACTTTTGCGGGCTGTAATATGGCCTATTCCATAAAATGTAAACTCCAACAGAAATAACTTCAAATTAAACCAGGTTGTGTAACCTGTACAAGTGTGAGGTGGAAATGTCTTTCTTGAATATGCCACTCCTGTGAGACACCCTCAGAGAGTGGTGTCACAGCCAGGTGATCAGGGCAGAACGACAGATTATACCTTACCAAGCTACCTTCTTACAAGCAAATACTTTATGAATTTATTGATACAAATCAGCTTCAAGGTTGCTAGCCAACTAACCTGCTAACGTTAGCCCTACTAGCCCGCTAAAGTTACATTAGCATTGCGTGAGTCAGCCAGTTGCTATCAACACCTAGTTTACAGCTACATTAAAGTAAACCAAAGTTTTGGAAATACATTTATCAAATAATGTTACCGGTATATGCAAGTAAGCCAGCCAGCTAAAGATAATTATTTTAGCCTGCTACCTAGCCTAGGCAGCTAACCACCACGGTTGACATAGCTAAGTAGTCAGCCAGAGAACAACTAGTCTAGCACAGGCAGGAACCCACAGAACACAACAACAACAACAAAAAGCCAGCAATATATGAGGTAGAGAGAGCGGAGACTTACCATTTGATGGCTGAGTTAACTACCAATGTCAAAGAATCCAATAGTGATATAGTGAGGTAAATCCACATTGAATTTAGCCAGTTTATCTCCATCACTGCTGACACTCGTGATGTACCGTTAGCCAGTTTATGTCCATCACTGCTGACACTCGTGATGTACCGGTAGGTCGGTAGGAAATAGAGGTGGCAGGCTTCACATTCACGCTCGGCACAGCACCTGGTTTCAGTCAGCCTCATTCCGAATCCTGCCTTCCACTGGTTATACTAAGTACTCCGGGGGGAAATGAGCACCGCATACAGTAGACGTGTTCACGGTTCCCATACTCTAATCCGCTCGCTTCAACCAGACAAACCGGTCCCACTTCAAAGCTAGCTTCTCAAATGAGTGGTAACCCCATCCTTGTGGGTATTACTGCACTAACTCGCTCGACTACCACTACCAAACGCATAGGAAAAGAGGAGATCCAGTTTTGCTCATGATTTACATGGTTTCTTCTTCAAGGATGTACATAATAGCTCACCCGTGCCAACACTTGGTTTGGAATGTAATTACATGCTAGTATGGCTAGTAGCTAACGTTAGCCAGTTGGAACTAGCTAGGTAGCACAGGTTTTCCATATGACGTTGAGAAATAGTGCATTGTGGGTAGTTCTGAAGATATCCGGAAATACAGTGCATTCGGAAAGTATTCAGACCCCTTGACTTTTTCCATATGTTGATAACGTTAAAGCCTTATTCTAAAATTGATTAAATTGTTTTTTTCCCCCTCATCAATCTGCACACAATACCCCATAATGACAAAGCAAAAACAGGTTTTTAGAAATGTTAGCAAATGTATTAAAAATAAGAAACTGTAATATCACATTTACATAACTATTCAGACCCTTTACTCAGTACTTTGTTAAAGCACCTTTGGCAGCGATTACAGCCTTGAGTCTTCTTGGGTATGACACTTCAAGCTTGGCACACCTGTATTTGGGGAGTTTCTCCCATTCTTCTCTGCAGATCCTCTGAAGCTCTGTCAGGTTGGATGGGGAGCATCGCTGCACAGCTATTTTCAGGTCTCTCCCGGGATGTTTGATCGGGTTCAAGTCCGGGCTCTGGCTGGGCCACTCAAGGACATTTAGAGACTTGTTCCGAAGCCATTCCTGCATTGTCTTGGCTGTGTGCTTAGGGTCGTTGTCCTGTTGGAAGGTGAACCTTCGCCCCAGTCTCAGGTCCTGAGCGCTCTGGAGCAGGTTTTCATCAAGGATCTCACTATACTTTGCTCCGTTCAGCTTTCCCTCGATCCTGACTAGTCTCCCAGTCCCTGCCACTGAAAAACATCCCCACAGCATGATGCCGCCACCACCATGCTTCACCATAGGGATGATGCCAGGTTTCCTCCAGACGTGACGCTTGTCATGGTGCCAGGTTTCCTCCAGATGTGACGCTTGGCATTCAGGCCAAAGAGTTCAATCTTGGTTTCATCAGACCAGAGAATCTTGTTTAATAATAATAATATGCCATTTAGCAGACGCTTTTATCCAAAGCGACTTACAATCATGCGTGCATGCATTTTTTTTGTGTATGGGTGGTCCCGGGGATCGAACCCACTACCTTGGCGTTACAAGCGCCATGCTCTACCAGCTGAGCTACAGAGGACAGTTTCTCATGGTCTGAGAGTCCGTTAGGTGCCTTTTGGCAAACTCCAAGCGGGCTGTCATGTGCTTTTACTGAGGACTGGCTTCCGTCTGGCAACTCTACCATTAAGGTCTGATTGGTGGAGTGCTGCAGAGATGGTTGTCCTTCTGGAAGGCTCTCTCATCTCCACAGAGGAACTCTGGAGCTCTGTCAGAGTGACCATCGGGTTCTTGGTCACCTCCCTGACCAAGGCCCTTTTCTCCTGATTGCTCAGTTTGGCCGGGCGGCCAGCTCTAGGAAGAGTCTTGGTGATTCCAAACTTCTTCCATTTAAGAATGATGGAGGCCACTGTGTTCTTGGTGACCTTCAATGCTGCAGACATTTTTTGGTACCTTTCCCCAGATCTGTGGCTCGACACAATCCTGTCTCAGAGCTCTACGGACAATTCCTTCGGCCTCATGGCTTGGTTTTTGCTCTGACATTACATTTTACATTTTAGTCATTTAGCAGACGCTCTTATCCAGAGCGACTTACAGTTAGTGAATGCATACATTTTTTAAAAATATTTTTTTATTTTATTTTTTTCATACTGGCCCCTCGTGGGAAATGAACCCACATCCCTGCCGGCCAAACCCTCCCCTACCTTGGACGACGCTGGACCAATTGTGTGCCGCCCATGGGTCTGGCCGGCAGTTGACACGCACTGTCAACTGTGGGACCTTATATAGACAGGTGTGCACCTTTCCAAATCATGTCCAATCAATTGAATTTACCACAGGTGGACTCCAATCAAGTTGTAGAAACATCTCCAGGATGATCAATGGAAACAGGACTCACCTGAGCTCAATTTCGAGACTAATAGCAAAGGGTCTGAATACTTACATAAGGTATTTCTGTTTTTTATTTGTAATACATTTACAAACATTTCTAACAACCTGTTTTCGCTTTGTCATTCTGGGGTATTGTGTGTAGATTGATGAGTAAAATTTTTTTAGGGGTCTGAATACTTTCTGAACGCACTGTAAGTTAATACATTTGTAAAAACACTCAAACATAACTATCTTTGTAGTTATAGGTAACCAGATGGTGACTACAACTAAGTTACTAAGTCTTTGACCACACTACTTTGGTGAGTAAAAATTCACGCGCACCACCTCCAGGCTTGCCACGCCCTCAGCTGTCTCCTCCAATCACAGAGCGCCGCCGCCTTGCCCATCCGCACCCTCCTCTCCAACAGCAGAGTACCAGCCAGAGAAGTGCCTCTGCAGACACTCAAAAATATATACACACACATTTGTTTTACTATTCTTGTGAGGACCAAACAATTGATTTAAATAAAAAAATTCGTATATTTTGTCGGGAATTTTGAGAATTCTGAGACTGTCCAATCCTGCTTTATGTCAATCTGGTTTTGTACCTGTTGGTGACGCGCCTCCATGGTAAGACCCGGGTCCCTCCTCTTCCTCCTGTCTCGCTCTTCTCAGTCTAGTGCCAGATCCTGCACTATCCCAGATTCCACCACTTCCCGCTCCATGAGGTCTTGAAGGAAGTTGTTGACCACTGAGCTCTCCTCCTCCTCAGCCAGGTGGGAATACAGGTCTGAGAGAGAGACGGAGGGTGTATGACGTATGGTCCCGATGGACCCACTGACTGTGGTATGATGTATTAACTGAACTTTAGAAAACAAGGTATAGCGAGAGGTGTGAGTTCCACTGTTTGCTAGAGAATGTCAGATGGAAGGTAAGAGTTAAGTGTTGTTGTGTAGGTTAGTGTCTCTGTACCATCAAAGAGTTGAAGTGTTGTTGTGTAGGTTAGTGTCTCTGTACCATCAAAGAGTTTAAGTGTTGTTGTGTAGGTTAGTGTCTCTGTACCATCAAAGAGTTTAAGTGTTGTTGTGTAGGTTAGTGTCTCTGTACCATCAAATAGTTTAAGTGTTGTTGTGTAGGTTAGTGTCTCTGTACCATCAAAGTTACTGTAGTCCAGGGAGACAGGCTGGGCAGGTGCCATGGCTACTGGACTGTTCCTCTCAGGGGAGACAATCACATCCTCCTCCATCTCCAGTTCCAGACGCAACTTGCTGTTCATCCAATCACTAAGAAGAGCCTGAGCTACAGGAAAAATGTCCATAACACCATTTGTAAAGGCCTGAGATTCTTGTGTGTGAGTAGCCTACCTTCCCCATATGCTTCGTCATGATCCAGCAGCTGCTCTGTATTTTTTAGTGCCATTGTCTGGCTGCTTATTCCTGAATGGGGCTTCTTCAGGGAAAAAACCTCAGTCACTGCAAAGTCTGAGGCCATTTCCACTGTCTGGGGACACAAAAGTACACGTCATGAATACATATGGCCTTATAGACAGACATAGCACAAGAATATCCACTGCACACACACGCAAGCAGACACGCACACACACACAGTCCATCTCTGGTTTCAGGAGGTAAAGTGAAACAAAGTGAAAATAAAGAGCTCTCACCTTCATCCATTGGTCAATATCCCCATTATTGTGCTGCACCTGTTATTGTAGAGAACGAGTGAAGACTCTGATTATTAGGATTGTATTTATCAGGCAGAGTTTAAAGAGCAGGAGCAAAGAGGGCCTATAAAATGAAAGTGTGGTGCTTTGTCACCTCAGCTTTAGCCATTACTTTGCCCAGGCAGGTTCACAGACTGTGAGAGTTGTAAACAGGTGTCTGTAAAACCAAGAGTCCAGCCAATGCCTAATGTCTGAGGATTATCTTTAAATTGAGCTCAGACAGCGCCTAATGTCAGCAGATTATTTCAGATACATTTCCTATAGCAGTTGAAAAAAGCATTTATCTGTCTAAGAGTGCTTCAAGTATCCCTGTGTCACCCTGATCACTACTAGAGGATCTCAGACAGGCATTTTAAACTGTAAGGGTTCTTCAGCCTTCTCCAGTCACTGAGACGTATAAATCCACACATTCTGAAGCACCACTTTATTTCTAAAGATAACTTTGAGATCACTTTTATTATGGTTTATCCATCTAGAGTAGATCGTTTTTTTTTTGTTTGTAAGGAAGTGTCTGAGCGACGGAGACAGAAAGTATGATACAGATGAATATATTGAAAAGTTTTGCTTGCAGTCATGCAGAGTTTACTCATGCAGTGAAAGATCTGTCGAGGTAATCAATGAATGATTTGTACACCACTTTTTAGGTGACTGTCATCAATATTTTACTTTACCTCACACCTGTCAAAAGTACACACAATCAATAACACTTTAACTTATTTGCAGTGGGGTTTTTAGTCTTAGTGAATCTTTTCCAGCTAAACATATCAGGGTTATGCGAGTATGCCATTTTTTAAGCCAAGAAATAGCTTGTACTTTTTGCCTGGCTAATACAGAAAACCTAACTTCTATTCCTATATCAAAGTTGTATTAATTACAACTTATAGCACTATACCTCCAGCAAAAAAAGTAGAAGTCAAATTTTGCACTGAAATTGTTTTTTTAAGCTAATACAAAAGTAATGTAGCTAGCTAGCTATTGCTAGTTGTACTGTTGCTGGTGCTGCTACTGCTCAGTGCGCTGAAAATAGAACGAGGTGCATGAGTAATGTAGTTAATTAGCCACGTTCATCAAAAGCACTGGTTGCTTGACAGTGGTATTAGTAAACTACAAGTCCCATTTCAACTTTTTGTCAACAGAAGCGTCTGGTAACTATAGTAACTTTGGACCCTTCCCCAAATGTTAAACATTTGACAGTTGTAAAAAGACGCCAAAGTCAATATTGAATGTGCAAAGTCCACACAGCAATATCATAGTCCCACAGAAAGGGTTTGCGCAATCTTATAAAGTATGCACACACTCTCAGTAATGTTTATTCAATAGCAAATGTGATTTTCTAATGAGATCTTTGCAAACGCCCAAAATGATCACGTTTTATAGAAGTGACCGAGGCGCGTGCTGCTCAATAATCTGCGACGTGTAGTTTTCAAGTGCTTTGGTTCCTGGTAAGCGAAAAGAGGCTGAATGTTGAATGAATCTATGTTTTAAAAATCTCAAAACGTTATTTTAACATATTGTCTGTTGCGCTTTGTCTATGACTGCTGAAATCAGGCAAATAGAAACCTTTGTTAGTCTGCCGGATTCTATAAAAAGGCCACTGAATTTAACTAATGTTAGCAATTGATAACATCCTCAAGCTAGCCGGTTGTTTGTCAATTTTGGCCACAGAACGTATGGACAAACATTTAAACACGAACGGAACACCTATTTGTTAACTGGTATGTTTAAGAAAAAGGCCCCAGGAGGTGTTGCATATGGCCAATATACCATGGCTAAGTATATTGGCCATATATCACAAACCCCCGAGGTGCCTTATTGCTATTATAAACTGGTCACCAACTTAATTAGAGCAGTACAAATAAATGTTTTGTCATACCCACGGTATGCGGTCTGACATATCACAGCTTTCAGCCAATCAGCATTCAGGGCTTGAACCACCCAGTTTATAAATCAGTTTCTAATATATGCTATTACATGGTCTTCTGTAAAGAAATGTTGCTTGCGCCACATATATTCCATCCAAAGATTCTTTACACTGACAGTGTTTGACAGCGTCAAATCCGTGATGCATTGTGGGTAAATTGGGACTTACTGACTTGATCTACTAGTTATTTATTTATGATGCAAGGTGATTTGTAGTGTGGGGATCTATTTTCTTATAACTAGATGTGATGCCTAGCTTAGAAAGAATACATTAATGATTAAACATAATAGGTTTGTACTGTACTGATAATAGATTGTTTAACATAACAAGCTGTGATTAATGTGGGGAACTGTTATGGGGGTAGGCTGAGACAGACTTGTGATTCACACAGACACACACACAGCCTCTTTGTTAAACCGCTCAAGGACAGACTATGTCTGAGGTTGCTGACTCGAGACAAGTTGTGGAGATAACAACTAATGCCTGGCAACAGTGAAGCGCCAAGGGGCTGGGACCAGCCTGTGTGCCAACGATAGGCTGAGTAAGTCTAAACCACGCTCAGTCTCTACTCTGATAGGCCAGCTTGGAGCAGGAACTATCTCTGTCAGAGTATTAAAATAATAATTTTGGGTTGGGACAGTTAGTTCTCTGACTGCCCTGCGTGGTTTTTCAGTGGACCCGTATATACGAACATCATATTTTCCATTGAAGTGTTTTGCATTAATTATAATACTAGTCTATTTTAGAAGACGTGTATTGACCTCTTTATGTTCCAATACCAGATTTGAATTGACGCAACTTAACAATTGGTGACCACCGACGTGATCTGGTAGAGGGACTTCGCTGGGTATTATCCGGCCCATTGGACATCTCTGTCATCTTTGTGTGTTTCACAAAGAGTCCGGACTACTAAAAACAGGTAAGCAGACACCTATTGTTATATAACTAAAGTTCTGCACATTGGCTTTATCCAAATTAATTTTGTGACACACCTGTCTGATGTAAGTGAACTAAATTATGAATTATTATACGAATTATTATGAGTAGATAAGCACCATATTGTGACATGCAAACCTTTGGTGAATGTGATGTTAAACCATGGTACCATAGAGTATTGTTCTACCGGCAAGGTCCGTAACTGCGGGGGTACGGCTAGGTTCGGGGAAAATACTGAAATCTATCGGCAAGGTCCGTAACTGCGAGGGTACGGCTAGGTTAGAAGATACAGGGAATAATTGACTTAGTAATTGCTATCGGCAAGGTCCGTAACTACGAGGGTACGGCTAGGTTCGAAGAATTACACCGGCAAGGACCGTAACTACGAGGGTACGGCTAGGTTCGGGAAATTTTAGATAAATACTAGCGACTGGCAAGGTCCGTAACTGAGAGGGTACGGCTAGGTTCAGCTGAGTATTTTTTAGATAGGGAGGAGGATAGTAGGCGAGGTTGAATTTGACAATGTAAAGGTAAAGATAATGAATAGTCAATATAACTAAATTGAAATGTATTGAACTGATATAATTAAACTGTAACGTTGGTGTTTGAAATAACATAATACTGGTTTTAAATAATTAAGTTGAAGCAATTTGGTTTATTATTTAATTTAACGTTTGATGACCCTGCAAAATACTGGTTAAATAATTAGACTGAAATAATTAGGTTTATCGTTGAAATATAAATACAGTGGGGGAAAAAGTATTTAGTCAGCCACCAATTGTGCAAGTTCTCCCACTTAAAAAGATGAGAGAGGCCTGTAATTTTCATCATAGGTACACGTCAACTATGACAAACAAAATGAGAAAGAAAATTCCAGAAAATCACATTGTAGGATTTTTTATGAATTTATTTGCAAATTATGGTGGAAAATACGTATTTGGTCACCTACAAACAAGCAAGATTTCTGGCTCTCACAGACCTGTAACTTCTTCTTTAAGAGGCTCCTCTGCCCTCCACTCGTTACCTGTATTAATGGCACCTGTTTGAACTTGTTATCAGTATAAAAGACACCTGTCCACAACCTCAAACAGTCACACTCCAAACTCCACTATGACCAAGACCAAAGAGCTGTTAACGGACACCAGAAACAAAATTGTAGACCTGCACCAGGCTGGGAAGACTGAATCTGCAATAGGTAAGCAGCTTGGTTTGAAGAAATCAACTGTGGGAGCAATTATTAGGAAATGGAAGACATACAAGACCACTGATAATCTCCCTCGATCTGGGGCTCCACGCAAGATCTCACCCCGTGGGGTCAAAATGATCACAAGAACGGTGAGCAAAAATCCCTGAACCACACGGGGGGACCTAGTGAATGACCTGCAGAGAGCTGGGACCAAAGTAACAAAGCCTACCATCAGTAACACACTACGCCGCCAGGGACTCAAATCCTGCAGTGCCAGACGTGTCCCCCTGCTTAAGCCAGTACATGTCCAGGCCCATCTGAAGTTTGCTAGAGTGCATTTGGATGATCCAGAAGAGGATTGGGAGAATGTCATATGGTCAGATGAAACCAAAATAGAACTTTTTGGTAAAAACTCAACTCGTCGTGTTTGGAGGACAAAGAATGCTGAGTTGCATCCAAAGAACACCATACCTACTGTGAAGCATGGGGGTGGAAACATCATGCTTTGGGGCTGTTTTTCTGCAAAGGGACCAGGACGACTGATCCGTGTAAAGGAAAGAACGAATGGGGACATGTATCGTGAGATTTTGAGTGAAAACCTCCTTCCATCAGCAAGGGCATTGAAGATGAAACGTGGCTGGGTCTTTCAGCATGACAATGATCCCAAACACACCGCCCGGGCAACGAAGGAGTGGCTTCGTAAGAAGCATTTCAAGGTCCTGGAGTGGCCTAGCCAGTCTCCAGATCTCAACCCCATAGAAAATCTTTGGAGGGAGTTGAAAGTCCGTGTTTCCCAGCAACAGCCCCAAAACATCACTGCTCTAGAGGAGATCTGCATGGAGGAATTGGCCAAAATACCAGCAACAGTGTGTGAAAACCTTGTGAAGACTTACAGAAAACGTTTGACCTGTATCATTGCCAACAAAAGGTATATAACAAAGTATTGAGAAACTTTTGTCATTGACCAAATACTTATTTTCCACCATAATTTGCAAATAAATTCATTAAAAATCCTACAATGTGATTTCTCATTTTGTCTGTCATAGTTGACGTGTACCTATGATGAAATTTACAGGCCTCTCTCATCTTTTTAAGTGGGAGACCTTGCACAATTGGTGGCTGACTAAATACTTTTTTCCCCCACTGTATGCACCGACTTTAACTAATTAGGTGGGAATAATTTGATTTAAATAAATAGATAGATGTACTTTAAATAATTAAATAACGGACGAATATTACAAATTAAAACGAAAAATAGACAAAACCTGTTCCGACTGGACACAGGAGGGAGAACCGCGAGGGGAGGGGCTAGAGACAGCGAGAGTATGGCTTTTGGAGAGTCAGGAAAGACTAAGAAGTGATTTGTGTCGATTAAGAATTGGCTAAAAACACCATGAAGCGATTATTTTTTTTAGATACAGTCTAGAAAGAGAATGCAGTCAGAAATAGAAATTGAGAGCTGAACACGTGTGAAGATAGTTTATTAACCACACCCGTATGTCAGAGGTTTTGTGCCCCACAGGTGAACTAAAGGAGAAGGTGACCCACTCTATCTAACCAGGTGACTGGTGAGCATCCAGTCCCTAAAGAAGAAAAACTGGAAGCAGGCCTGTTGGGAAGGGCCCTATCAGGTTATATTGGTCACTGCCTTTGCCATTAGAATAGCAGAAAGAGCAACCTGGGTCCACGTTACCCACTGCAAAAAGGTAAGAACACATGCAAGCACCACTGAACACATGCAGAG